ATAATATGTGGGTTAGTTCCTTGTATAGCATATCTGGGTAAGGTCGCATTTAGATGAGGTATAAAATCCGAGATGTGTCTTCCTCAAACCAAAGTAACCATAACTCTGAAGATGCCACAGGTATTTGGAGTTTGACGACGCTTTAACCAGTAACGCCTTCTACTACGAACCATACCAACCAAGTGAAATCAAATGACAAAAGCGAGCAGGTTGGAAGATATATTTGATAGGCTATCAATTTACCGAGGATCTACTGATCTAGACTGGCTGGCGATTGCAGGGTTTGTTGAGCACTGCGTTCCCACTCGTGATCTGATGAGGATGCATGACCGAGCGTCTTCAGCTAGGTGAGTCCATTGAAACTAATGTGGTCAGCATCCAATGTCGACGACTTACAGAGCTATTTATTTTGGGGATTTATTTGCCACCACAACTCAAACGCCTTTGGTATATGCGCCACTGCGATTCGGAGTTGTTTTCTAGTCATGACTTAAGATCTTTCCCAGATCTCTTTTCCTGTACAAATAAGAGTAAGGTTTCATTGAATATGTAAATAAAGACCCATTCACTACTAGCCTGGTTTCTTCTATCAATAGCACGGAGGTTACATATAGGCACGAAAGCTTTACTAGCAACCATGGGAGTATCCTGTGTGGATTGGGTCGCTCTTCCTCCAGTTAATCCCCAAACTCAAACTTTAGGGTCATCTGACCAGTTCATTATAATCATACCGGATTAGGTAGTGTCAATGCCTGCAATAAACTTGTCGGAAAGGAGGATAAAGATGCACAAAAGTATATCAGAAGTGCGTTCAATACAGCTGTCCAGCCTTTTGACATCGAAACCAAATTCTATATCTTCATACAAGAGGCTAGCCTCTACTTATAAAGAGACAGTGAGTTAACGGAAAAGGTTGAAAGAGCCTCAACCAAGATGATTCTCTGAATAGAGAAGCTTCCGTATGAAGATAGTGTGGTTAAACTAATCAGAGGTGACCTGATCACAGTGTTAAATTACTTTGTGATACTTGTGCATTTGGTATGCCCTCACTTTTTCTGTTTTCCAAAACAGAGGATGTATGGGGAGACTCGATAAAAGTTCGTAAGTTCAGAATAAACTATTTCTCAGCCAATAATCGAATTTCCCGTCGAATCATCAACGAGTGGCATTCATTACCTTACCACGTGATTAAATCTCCATCTGCCGATGCTTTGAAAATAAAGTTGGATAACTGTGAGACCGCCATTGCCAGGACTAACATAGGCCACCTAGCCTCCTGTTCATTCCAAACTGAAACTATAAACATTTACTTACTTACTTACGTCTGTTACCCATCGTGAAGGAGCATAGGCCGCTCACCAGCATTCACCATCCAACCCTGTCCTGATCAATCGTTTCTAGCTCCTTCCATTTTTTAATCATCCTCCCATGTCTGCTTCCGATTACCGACGAAATGTGTTCGTTGGCCTTCCTCTTTTCCGCTTCCCTTCAGCATTCCAAGTTAGGGCTTGCCTTGTGATGCAGTTTGACGATTTGCGTAATGTATGTCCTATCCATTTCCATCGTCTTTTCCTAATTTCCTCTTCAGCTGGAAGCTGGTTTGTTCTCTCCCACAGAAGGCTGTTGCTGATGGTATCCGGCCTATGGATTTTGAGTATCTCTCGCGTATACAACCATTTATAAATACTTGCACCTTCTTGATGGTGGTTGTTGTAGTTCTCCAAGTTTCAGCTCCATACAGTAGAACTGACTGCGTTGACGTTCGTATTGAAGATTCTCACTTTGATATTAGTTGAAAGTTGTTTTGAGTTCCATATGTTCTTCAATTGTAGGAATGCAGCCCTTGCTTTACCGATTCTCGCCTTTATGTCTGCATCTGAACCACCTTGTTCATCGATGATGCTTCCCAGGTATGTGAAGGATACTAAATCTCTCAGAGTTTCGCCATCAAGAGTGATTGCATTGGTGCTCTGCTACACTGGCTGTCTTTATCTGCATTTGTTCATGTGTATGGGATAGGAGGGCTAGGTCATCTTTGAAGTCCAAATCGTCTAATTGATTCTGAGCTGTCCATTGTATTCCGTGTTTTCCCTCAGATGTCGAGGTCTTCATAATCCAGTCGACCACCAGAAGAAAGAGGAAGGGAGAGAGTAAACAGCCTTGTCTGACACTACACCGGACAAAGCGGACGCCCCCTCCATCTTCGCCTACATGAACATCAACTAGCAGTCATACGCCATGATATCTCTTCACCTACATCAATACACGTGGATAACTGCGGACACTAATTCGGTTGGAAATATGTAGAGATCCTAGACAGAGGAAACTCCAAAAACACCAGAGAATCTTTAGAAGCATGGCACTCAGGTCAATCAGCAATCAACAAACATATTGAAATCAATCCAATTTATCAACCAATCAGGAAAATCATGCATAAATATAGGAACGAAAATCAAACCAATGGGAGAAACAACCAGAACAAAGAAGTAAACAACGATAAATTAAAGGTCAATAAGAGCCAATCAATATCGAGGTGCACAGAACAAGCTGTGAAACACATATGGAGAAATTCGGACACTTCATTTCTATCTGAATTTTGTGCCGATGATGTCGTTCAGAAGAACGATGAAAGCTCCACGACCAAACCATCCAGCTCAGAGAACAAAACTTCACCAAAATCATCCACCTACAAATCATCTCCACCATCTCAAGATCTGTGTGTGCTGCTTCCATGTCCGGTGGATTCATTGGAGCCGGCCTATTCAGGAGTTCCTCAAAGTATTCCACCCATCTGTTTCGCTGTTGTTGAATTTCAGTGGTTGGCTTGCCTTTTTTGTCTTTGACCGGTCTCTCTGGTTTATTGTATTTCCCTGATTGTTTCTTCGTTGTATCGTAAAGTTGTTTCATATTTCCTTCTCTTGCAGCTTTTTCCACCGTATTTGCTAGTTCTTCTACGTATTTCTTCTTGTCGGCTCTAATGCTCCTCTTCACTTGTTTGTATGCTTCTATGTATTCAGCTTGTGCTTGGACTTTCTCTGCTCGTGTTCAGCTGTTTCTAATTGCTGTCTTCTCGTTCTTCCTTTCTTTGATCTTGTCCAGTGTTTCTGTAGAGATCCATTCCTTATGATGGTGCTTCTTTAGACCCAGAACCTCTTGACGCGTTGAAGTTAATGCTTCCTTGATGCCTTTCCAGTTGTCCTCTATACTAGTTTCTTCTTCTTTCAGTAGATTTTGTAAGGCTTGGAACCTGTTGTTGAGAGCTATCTTGAATTCATTGAGTTTGTCAGTATCTCGAAGGAAGGCTGCATTGAACCTTTGTAGTCCTGTTTGTCCAGTTGTCCAGTTTCTCTTTAGCTTCGGTTTTAAATTGGCTACGGCTAGGTGGTGATTTGAAGCTATATCAGCTCCTCTCCTGCTTCTCACATCTTCCATTGTCCTTCCGAACTTTTTATTGATGCAAATATGATCTATCTGGTTCTCTGTAGTGTGGTCCGGTGAGATCCATGTAGCCTTGTGTATACGCTTGTGTGGAAATATTGTGCCTCTTATGACTAATTTGTTGAATGCACACAGATTTACAAATCTTTCTCCATTTTCGTTTCTCTCTCCCAGTCAATCCATGTCGTCCCATGATATCTTCATATCCGTGTTGTCTATTCCGACTTTGGCATTTAGATCTCCCATCAGAATGGTGAGGTCGTTTCTTGGGCACTTCTCTATGGTTGACTGCAGCCGCTCGTAGAATTGATCTTTAATGTCGCCGTTGCTATCATTGGTGAGTGCATAACATTGGATAATATTCATTAAGATCCCCTCCTTCTTTGTTTTGAATGATGCTTTGATGATTCTGGATCCGTGAGACTCCCATCCTACAAGTGCATTTTGTGCTACTTTGGACAGCATAAGAGCGACTCCATGAGTGTGTGGAGCATTGTCCTCCTCGTGACCGGAGTATAGCAGCATCTCTCCCGTAGCTAGCCTTTTCTGTCCAGCTTGGGTCCAGTGGGTTTCGCTGATTCCCAGTACTGCTAAGTTGTATCTCCTCATTTCCATTGCTATTCGACTGATCTTCCCGGTTTCCCACATTGTTCGAACGTTCCATGTACCTATAAAAATTGTTGCTCTGGTTGTTAGAGGGGGCATCAGCCTCGTGGCTTCCGAAGGAACTCGGCTTTCACCATGAAGTATCATAGTTCTTCTGAATGAAGACCTTCTAACTCCCAGCGGAGAGTTTAAATGGTTTGGATTATTTTTTCTGGTAAGCGTTTTTTTAGCGAGTTAGTTTTCCACGGGATGGGGTCGCTAACCCTTTGCCTAACCCTCCTCTTTTACCCGGGCTTGGGACCAGCAGTAACTCTAGAAGAGCTACAGGCGGAGTTTATAAAGATTTAGGAGTCATATTAAGCAGTGATCTCAAAATCACTAGTCACTGTAAGGCTGTTGCTGCGAAAAGCTGTAGGGTATTATGGTCTATTCGCAGATCTTTCCAGTATTTAGAAGATCAACGGTTTAGATTATTATACCCGATTGATGTGCGACCACATTTAGAATATGGAATTCAAGCAGAGAGTCCTTGTTTGAAGTATGGAGCAGAAATGCTGGAAAGAGTTCAACGACGAGGTACTAAGGTGATACAAGGTCTATCTGGCCTATCTTATGAAGACAGACTGAGACACCTTAACTTATTTCCGTTATCTTACCGTAGAGTAAGGGGTGATCTAATATTGGCCTATCGTATACTGATCGATGACCTTGATATTACATGTCTTATCTTTTACTTCCGTCTAGGACTGGTCATTTGAGAGGACATTCGAAGAAATCTCAAAAACCGAGATCAAGTCGTTTACATCTGGATTTTTGTTTCTCGCACCGATTAGTGAATTGCTGAAATTCTTTACCGGAACACGTAATATCAGCACCTTCTGTTAGTATATTCAAAACGAGATCGGACCTCCACAGTATTACAAACTGAAAGGACTAATATAGGTAGATAGACCTCCTATCCTTATTACTGAAGACTGAAGACAGTCTGAAAATTACGTTGGTGGTTTAAAAGTGGCGCTTTGACAGCACGCGCTCGGTATGGTTCATCTGGCACTTTCTCTAAATGCCATCCGTAAAGCTACAAAGTTGAACCGTTTGACCAACTTATACCAGTCTTTTAAATGTCGAAACCTAAGTTACACTAGCGGATACACTATTATTGACCATTCATTCGATGCGGTGGTTGTTGGTGCAGGTGGGGCGGGTTTACGTGCAGGTTTTGGCCTCGCAAATGAGGGTTTCAAAACTGCAATTATAACAAAATTATTTCCTACCAGATCTCACACCGTTGCTGCTCAGGGTGGAATAAATGCTGCTCTTGGGAATATGGAGCCTGATGACTGGCGTTTCCATATGTATGATACAGTCAAAGGTTCCGATTGGTTAGGTGACCAGGATGCTATTCAATACATGTGTGAAGAGGCCCCACAAGCCGTTATCGAGTTGGAAAACTACGGAGTACCTTTTAGTCGCTTGGAGAACGGCAAAATATACCAGCGAGCATTTGGTGGTCAAAGCATAGACTATGGGCGCGGCGGTCAGGCCCATCGCTGTTGTGCAGTTGCGGATCGAACTGGGCATTCACTTTTGCATACATTATATGGTCGATCATTACGTTATGACGCCACTTATTTCATTGAATATTTCGTATTGGATCTTCTCATGGAAAATGGCGAGTGTCGTGGTGTCATTGCTGTGTGTTTAGAGGATGGGACTTTGCATCGTTTCCGTTCTAAAAATACAGTTCTCGCTACAGGGTATGTCGGTTTTCTTAGCTCTTATCAGGTAGGGGTTACGGTCGTACATACTTTTCCTGTACTTCAGCACATACTTGTACCGGTGATGGGACGGCAATGGTCACACGGGCTGGGTTGCCTAATCAAGACATGGAGTTTGTTCAGTTTCATCCCACAGGTAAGTGCGGATATTTTCTGTAACTTCAAAGGAATTTATGGGGCTGGGTGCTTAATCACCGAGGGCTGTCGAGGTGAGGGTGGTTACCTCATTAATAGTAAAGGAGAGAGATTTATGGAGAGATATGCTCCTAATGCTAAAGATCTAGCTTCTCGCGACGTTGTGTCAAGAGCAATGACAATTGAGATTCGCGAAGGACGAGGAGTTGGCCCTAGGAAAGACCACATATTTTTGCAACTTTCTCATCTTCCGGCAGACCAACTACAAAGTCGACTTCCTGGTATATCGGAGACAGCAAAAATATTCGCAGGTGTTGATGTTACAAGGGATCCTATTCCTGTGTTACCTACCGTCCACTATAATATGGGGGGAATTCCTACAAACTATAAAGGACAGGTTAGTTAAAGATTTTCTCTAAGAAATTCTGTTGACATGCAAGGCTTTTTCACATTATTCGGGGTTGACAATATATTGGTTCATTTGTAGACCTTTAGGCTCTGCCGTTTGAAGACAGAGGCTATGTATACAGTTTTTATTACTACAGAGACTAACGGAAAAACACTTGGATCTGGCACATTTCTCACAAGTAATAAGGCTGAACTATGTCTTGTAAGCACCGTAAGTGATAATCTAAGGGTGCCACTTGTTTTGTATCTATCCGACGTAAGGTGACATTTCAGTTACTTAAAGACTGCAGTTTTCCAATGTCCTCTATTTTCTGCCTCCTTGTCACTCAGATGTACTAAGTTAAAGGGATGAGCAATGTTTCACTAATTAACACTTTCCTATTTATGATGATTGACAGTCAGCTGACTTTATATTAAGTTGATGTTTATTGCCAACCTATAAAGGAATTTTGAACATATCATTTACCATCCTCAATTTTCCCGTCCATTCCTTCTTCGAATAAAAAGGTCTCATTTTGATTTTAAAGTGCTTAATGAAATCATCCTGCTTGTTAAAACATTATAAGGTTGCGTGCATTACGAACTTCCTGTTGGTCTATAGTGTACATGAGTTCTCACTTAGTAGGACCTGTATTTTGCCAATCACCCTTCGCGTCTTTGAACAAGAAACCGTTTTATCATTACAGTCGCTTCATACATAGACTAAGTGATGTATCTCAAAATCGATCGCAAATGTTTTCATTCTCCTAAGGTTTGGGCGTATCATTGTGTTTAATCTTGAAAGGTTTCCAGCCCACAACTTTCCTCGTTTTCAGTTTTTTCACAATCTTTTTATCCCATTGTAAATTCCTTTTATACTGGTCTGAAGTGTAGCAACTTAAACTGATGTACATTTATGCTTCACCCTACACTATTTACACTGTTTACTTTTCTCTACCTCAACCATTTTATTTACATGTCTGTTAATCACTCGCGTAAATTCGAGATAGTCATGACTTCTACCGGAATAGATTAGTCCATAATCATCATGTAAACTGTCTAAGTAGAATAATATAACGTTGACACCGGAACACTTTCATAAGAATAAATTAATGTTCACGATTAACAACAAGTGATTATTTAATCTTCAGTTTTATTACTACATAAATAACTCACTTAATTCTCTTTAAAGGCTAATACTTGAAAAGAACTTGAATTTATATCAGTACATGTTGCGTTACTCTGTAGGTCCTGACTTATGATCCGATTGCTAAGAAAGATAAGATTGTTCCTGGACTATATGCTGCTGGTGAAGCTGCTTGTGCATCGGTTCACGGCGCTAATAGACTAGGTGCCAACTCACTCCTTGACATAGTTGTGTTTGGTCGTGCATGTGCGCTTGACATTGCTGCGAAAAATAAGCCTGGAGACGCAGGTCCAGAGTTAAAACCAGATACCGGGGAGGTCTCCATCGCCAACTATGAAAAACTCCGGACCGCAAATGGAAATTATCCAATTGCACAAGTGAGTTAGCTTTATTTTTTTGTAGCATTTTTTTATATTTTTACTGAGATATTTTCAATATTCCCGATTTTTCACCTCAAACTGAACAGTATGGCTTTATTTTTTATGTACCACTTCCCAGTTTAGTGTAGGGTTCGAGCCATTTGATAACACCATTTTGCCGTAAAAACCCCGTAGCTGGAAATGAAGTTAAGCATATGGATTACGTGTTGAAATAGGTATTCATACCAAGGTTGGACTTGATAGTTTTACATAGATTGAGTTGATAATAAATATATTTTTGTTATATCCCAATGAGTAGAAAAATTGTATTTCTGACGTCTCGTGACTTAATGTAAGTGACTTCTTCAGAGTGGTTTATTTATTATTACATGTTGAAAGTTTTTAAATCAATGACCTTAATAAAAACCAAGCTTTTGTGGATTTTATTATAGTTGAGATTAGATGGTGGTTGGAGGTAGTCGACAGGAAACCCTGGACCCGGGTTTCGTGCTACTTGGCACTCGTCAGTAAGGTGTACCTGTAATTTTGAGGGAACTGGTGCTACCTGGCGGATTCGGTCCCGTATCACCCAGCTTCACAGTCAGAGACGTTACCACTGAGCTATCCGGGCCGCATTCAATCTGCACTAAATAAGGACTTGACACACATGACATTGATCACCACCCAGTGATCAATCAATTGTGATTTTATTATAGTATTTTATCAGGTGGAAGAGAATCACGCTATAAGTAAATAAATAAATAAATACAGTCAATATGGGTTAAAAAGAAAAAAAGCATTAAATTCAAGATTCGCTACACGATAAAAAGAAATAAACTTACCAATCTCTGTTGTGATAAATTTGGACTTTTCTTGAATTGATGATATCTGTCATCCTGAGGGCAGGAGAATCATACGAAGAACCTGCATCCATTTATATTGATCCAGGTGAAAAATCTGTTACTTCAATGTCCACCCTTAGTTGCTCCCTAAACTAATCCTAATAACACGAATACAACATAATCCATCTATTTCAGCTGAATTAGGTCTACACATTTATCTGTTGAGATTACCTTCCCCACTTGAGGGTTTACTCTGAACTTAAGATTGCTGAACCAGTCTTCCTTGCCACACAAGGCACCTTCAGTTGATTACCTGTAATCTATTGATGTATCTTGGACCCAGTGGATCATGTTTCGGTCATGGAGTAGCTTTAAATAGACCGCTGAGTAACATACATACCATTCTGTAGATATTTAGGTATCTCTTAGGCGTCTAACTAATTAGGGCTAATCTGGTCTTATGAATGTGAAGATTCATGCGATCACTTTTTCATTCTGTCCTCAAAATAAGGGTCTGTGCAACTAGTTTTTAAAGCTTTATTTCAAATTTGACATATGGAAACTATTTACTGAATATTCCGAGAATTAATAATGTACCGAACACACAAACAACTTGCCTATATTCGTGCATACATTTTACAGTGTTGAATTTTCTGTTAAAACGTAGGTCCGATTAGAAATGCAGCGAACAATGCAAGAGTATGCTGCAGTATTTCGTGATGGTCCTACTCTCAAAGAGGGCTGTAGAAAAATGTATGAATTATATGCTTCTCGAATGAATGATTTAAAAGTTAGTGATCGCAGCAAAATATGGAATAGCGATCTAATGGAAGCATTAGAATTACAGAATCTGATGCTAAACGCTTTACAGGTATGTTTCCTTGTGGTATAACATAGTTGCTACGTATGTATGTTTATAAAGGTGTACATAATTAATTTTGCGGTTTAAAATTATGACCTGTTGTATTAGTCTGTTCTTTTGTTGAACTAATATGGACCATTTACACTGCGTTAACTGATAGGTCATCAATAGCATTGTATAATCACCACACCATATCGCAAATCAATTCATTGAACGTCGATCCAGTGATTCTAACGGTTAAGCGTCCACTGTAAGACCTAAAGGTCTTGGGTCGAATCGTAGGCAGATCCGTGGATGTGCACTGCTAAGGAGTCCCGTGCCAGGGTAAAACAGCTGCCCAGTATTCCCTAGTTCTATATGGCTTCCCGAGTACAATTAATCTGTCATGAATACAACTTTCAGATCATTAAGTCCATAAACTATAGTTCCATATAACAAAAACACCACAGTCAATTCAGTTTCACAGCACTCCAAATTGAGTTTGCTTCTGTTATTTGATGAAGGTAATGGTATATTCATGCACTAGACTTTTCATATTTACTCGGTAATACAGAAAGCTCTTATTATGTTCTTAATATGATTAAATTAAGTGCTACTTCAAAAAGCGAGTCAATTGTATGTATCAGCTCAAACAGACCACTTGTTTTTATTACGTTTCCAGTCCCTTATATTTCATTGCACCCCAAGGATATAAAATCTAAGTAATTTTATTGTAAGCATGGAAAATTACTTGGTGAAGAATTACAGCACCTTACAGGGATTTTAGTACTGCCACAGTCAATCTGTCAGTCAATGCGAAGTCTATGTGCCTTCTGTCAATCAATCTCTAGTTCTGTTAAAAGTATGAGGATATTTCTTTTTGAGGGGTTTGTAAAGGAAACTGGGTTAGTAGTAGTCACAGCAACCTGGAAGCATGACTGTAGAGCTCAAGAGACAGCTGTTTGAGGTCGGTCACATAAGGTTTTTCTGCGAGAAGTTTGTAGTGTGCTGGCTCCGAGTTTCAAAAGGCCATACAATGGAGTTCCATGAAGTAAGATGTGATACCGACCTTTTAAACCCCTTCCTTATGTTGTAATGAGGCAGTATCTCTGTAGATCCTGGTTGCCTAAAGGAAACACCCCAACCATCACGATTCAATACAGTCATGAGTATACCTCTGCTCCCAGACTATGAGCTTACTACCATCAGTCTTACCGTTTCCCAACCGACCGGTTTGGGATGGTAGAAGCTGAAAGAACATTTTTTCCAGCCAATACAGCTCGATTGGGTCATTATGATAGGCAAGTCTTAGCATCATATTAAGTTAGCAGCTACAATCGGGAGTTGATCGAACTGATAAGTGATCTGGTTGAAATGTTTAAATCAAGAGGTGATATGAATCAAATTACTAGAAAGAAACTTTCAACTCCGTGATCAACAATATGAAGTCACTATTTTAGTTTAAATCACATAACAGTATTTAATGTTTATATAGTTGGGATGAGTATATTTCCCGAACTTTATTGTTTAAGTTGACGGATGTTGTCATCTTTATCAGTCGTAAATGGTGCTCACATTAAATATTCAGCACTATGTTATTTTCATTCAGTGTTTATTAGAATTCTTGTAGAAAGTACGTTTTCCTTAATACTGACCATTTAGATTATTTCTTTTACGAGCTGCATGATCAATTATATGGTTCAAAAGTGCACTATTGTATTTATCAAATATCTTTAAAAAGCGACCAATAATTGTCACTACATTTCCAGTTATATGAAGAGGACAGTTACCGTGAGAAACATACCAAGTCTCATGTGCTTTTAACTTTATGTAATTTTAGACTATTGTTGGAGCTGAAGCCCGTAGAGAATCGCGTGGTGCTCATGCACGTGAAGACTTTCCTAATCGGTTAGATGAATTCGATTACTCTCAACCTATTGATGGACAAAAGCCTAAGCCATTTGAAGAACATTGGCGAAAACATACTCTGTCTTATCAGGATGTTAAAACGGGTGCTGTAAAATTGGAATATCGTCCTGTAATTGATACCACCTTGGATTCTAAGAGCTGTCCAACTGTCCCTCCAAAACTACGCACTTATTAGGTTAGTTAGATTTTTTTAGCAGTTTGAAATATTGGTAATGAGTTAATTATTTGTGAAACTCGGATTATTTATCATTTCTAACCCTCTTTCATGGTGAAAAGTACAGTTCTGTTTTGTTTCATGTTCGTAAGTTAAAGTGTTTCTCAGAATTATTCATGCATTTTTACGATACCATCAAGTTTCGTGCATGGAAATAAGATTTGTTTAAACGCTTGAGGTTGACCATTATTCCTCTGGATAAAATTTCAGTAGTGTTATAATTTGCCCAGATTGTTCGAAATGTATAGCGCTAATACATCACATTTTTCAGATCAACTCCGTCTTCTCATTGTTCTATCGAAATTTATAATTTGTCGTTTGAATGCTTATTATCTTGGCTCTTTTAATGCTACTTTTTTGTATCTGGTTGTCACTGATTGTTATGTCGGAAACACTTAACACTTATACTCGGGACAAGGGTCCTCTGCAATTCCTGCGACGCGAAAGTAAGAACACAAAGACGGGTATAAGTGATGATTTATTAACCCCAAAACACTATGAAGACCCTAGTAGAAAATACACTCATTTATATATTGATTGTACACCCATTTCGATTAATAATTAAAATGTAATCACATATATAACAAATCACATACTGAGCATAGTTCATGTCAATGGAATACAAGAATATCGTATATTATACAGAAGAAAATACCATACTGGGAAAACAAATCAATTACTACACTGCATTATTATTATTATTATTTAAACAAATAAACATCGGTACAAGGAGGCACCAACCAGATATGCGTCACATAAAACATTCGATTTGTGTGAGGGCTGTAATACTGCCTGGGTGCCCAAACCGAAGCAGGTGGTTTTCTTAGGAGGCTACTCCCCGAACCTTCGACCTAAAGGCCTGACCCACAAGGCAGTGGAGCATCGTGAGGAGATGCAGTCCCATGGTAGCCGGTGATCAACGATTAGTTCATACGCCATTTGTTCCCGCAGGATACTGGAGCCCATGTGCACCATTGGTTTGGAATCTGGTTAAAGCGCCGGACATTCGCTTTTCGTCCTCTCATTTTCGTAAACAACACCCCCGCCACGAGAAGGCAATGAGTAGGACTTCCCTGGCAGAGGCTGTATACGCGTGGCCGTGTAAGAGCATTTCGAGAGGGAAGGCGGGCCCACCCCACTCCCGGCCATACCAGGGCATTTGGGGGCACTACACTGAGGATCATTCACTACACTGAATGATCCTCACGTTTAATCAAAACGGATGTACTGTTGAATAAAACTCATTATAAGTAATTCAATCGAAAATTGACTTTTCTTTCCATCATATCAAGTAGTTTGTGTGATTTTTTTTATCTACAAATATTAATTCTTTGAGCTTCCAAGTTGCATTTGTAAAGATATCCTAATCGCCTCATTCTATAAATGTTCATAGTAATTTTTAAAGTTTGCGTAGTAGGTCTGACCCCAAGATAAGTCACTTAGTGGTCCCACCTTGTGCAAACATCCGAGGGAATTTACAACTGACTTTTCGATTACTTACACTCTTGGTAGATAATTATTAAGTTATTAAAATGGACATACAATGGAAGTTTTAATGAGAACCAGTCCGGTCATTACACCACTCAGTTTTCTTGCATAACATTTTACTCATCTTTACTTTTTTTATTGAGAATGTTGTAGATATAATATGGTTTGATTTTAGTCTAAATTTGCACTATCTTTGTGTATCGTATAGATCGGAATGTTACTTTAATATTTATTAGTTTGGACAATAGGAAATTTGACATTGTGAACGCATTGAAGGATAGTTAGCTATGGTTATACAAAGATAATGTAGTATGAATAGAATCAATAAATCTCAAGATAAAATTTTCAATATTCACATCATAGTAAGGAATACGACTAACACTAAAATTAGTTTTAATCTATTGAAACTGTAAAACAGCGTAACTAATAAATGATATTTAGGAAATTTGCGAGAAGTTGAATTTTTCTGTTGACTTACTATTTCAGTTTTCTTTATCATAATACTAACAATTAATTTCTTGTTTTGTTTTCTTAGCATACTCATTGCTTAGGATGAATTTTCCAAATATGTAGCTTAATGAACTGGAGATTTTCTTCCGTTCATATTCAAAATAACTTCGATACCACCTTTTTACACTAATTATTTACTTGATATTACAATTTATTTGTGAATGCTTTTGTCTAATTATCGTTTTCAATAAAACATCTCTTTACCAAATGTATACTTGAACTGCTGCCTTTTTGTTTCTTGATTCCATGGTTTACAAATGATAATCTACTTATTCTTTAGAATGTCATAAACTCTTACCCACTAGTGTATATGGATTCAGTTGTTTGTATTTAATGATGTCTTAATAATAAGAGTTAACACTCAGCGTAGACTGCCTTGAATAATAATTCGTACACAACTACCTATTTAAAGTTCGCCTGTAGCTCTTCTAGAGTTACTGCCGGTCTCAAGCTTTGATAAAGGAGGAGGGTTGGGCATGGAGTCACCGACCCCATCCCGTAGAAAAAAACCTTGCTAAAAAAACGCTAACCGGATTAAGCTAATTAAACCATTTAAACTCTGCCCTGTGCGTTGAAGGAAGAATTATGACCCCTCATGATGAAAGCCGAGATTCTTCGGAAGTCATGAGGTCTATGCTCCTTCTAACACCCAGAACAACAATTTTTATAGGTACATAAAATGTTCAGACAATGTGGGAGACCGGGAGGGCCGGTCAATATCTACGGAACTGAGGAGATAAACTTGACAGTGCTCGGAATCAGTGAAACCCACTAAACCCTAGCTGGACAGAAAAGAATATATTTGGAAAAGATGCTGCTGTACTCTAGTCACGAAGAAGAAAATGATTCACACGCTCAGGGAGTTGCTCTGATGCTGTCCAAGGAAGCAAGTAAAACACTTATAGGATGGGAATCTCATGGACTCAGGATCATGAAAGCGTCCTTCAAAACAAAGAAGGAGGGAATCACAATGAATGTTTTCCAATGTTATGCAACCAACAATGATAGATTAGGGAACAAAGAAACAGGTGGGTAAGAACACTGATGATCTTGAATAGGCCGGCTCCATTGAATCCACCGGACATCGAAGCAGCACACAAAGATTTTTCTATAGATGTCACTCCACCAACGATCGAGCGTATCAACGTAGCCATCAGACAAATCAAGAGTATTAAAGCAGTAGGACCTGATAATATACCAACTGAAGCACTCAAGTCAGACACAAACTCATCTACAAACATGTCCCACGTTCTATTCGGGAAGATTTGGGAGGAGGAACAAGTGCCAACAGAATGGAAAGGATATCTAATCAAATTACTAAGGAAAGGAGGTCTGAACAAATGTGAAAACTACAGAGGTATCACGCTACTATCAGTACCAGGAAAGGTTTTCAACAGAGTGTTGCTGAACCGAGATCAACAGGCTGGATTCCGTAAGGATCGGTCGTGTACAGACCAAATCGCGACACTACTGATGATCGTTGAACAAATCGGTTGAGTGGAGCTCGTCACCACACATTAACTTCCTTGATTATGAGAAAGCCTTTGATAGTATGGATAGGAGAACATTGTGGAAACTTCTTCGACACTGATGCACCTGAGAAGGTCGTCATTATCATACGGAATTGATATGATGCACTATACTACAAAGTCGTGTATGGGGGCAACTGACAGACGAATTTCAAGTAAGTACCGGATTTATACAAGACTTCTTGCTTTCCTCCTTACTCTTCGTTTATGTGGTTGCCATCATTCCCTAATGCCCTGCGTCTAACCTCACTATTACTTACCCTGTGATCCTAGCAGACGCCAGCAATATTTCTAAGGCATTTGTGATCAAGTGCTAGCAACTTACGAGTAACCTCTACTCTTAATGGCCACGTTTCGCAGCCGTAAAGTATAACAACGAACTGCTGCGCAGTATACTCGTCCTTTATTTGATTGGCGGATATCTCACCTTCGCCGTAGGTGACGTAAGTTGGCAAAAGCCAAACGAGCTTTCTTAATCACTGATGAGATTTCGTCGGACACCAACCCATCAGAGTTAATCAGACTTCCAAGATAGATGGAGTTGTCGACGTGTTCGACTGAAGCAACGATTCGCTTTAGGAGGGGGAGAAACGCATCCCAAACATCCTGGCATTGTTGCTCAGTGCTACCAAAACACTGCATTTTATCAGCGTCTTTACCAAACAGGATTATGTCATCTGTGTATTCTAAGTCGATAAGTGGAACTCCTGGAAGGAGATCGATGCCCGAAAATTCAGTCAACGAGAACGTTATTTCCAGCAGCAGGTCTATGATGAAGTTGAACAAAAATTGTGATAGTGGACAGCCTTGCCGGACACCACTTGAGGTTTCAAAATCAGATGACAGTTCTTCATAAGCTCTGACTCGACTAGTAGTGTTCGAATAAAGAGCCTTCACAGGGTTTATGTACTTCTGAGGTACGCCTTTCAATGACAGACACTGCCACAGAACCACTCGGTCTACCGAGTCAAATGGTGCTTTTAAGTCAAGAAAAACTCATTGTCAGACCCCGATAAGTATGCCTGTGTTCTAAAATCTGATGAATGGTGAATATGTGATCATTCTCTTTCCTGTGTGCTTGAATCTTATCAATTCATTCGACTCTTGATACGCCTATTTTACTGGCTGGCATTTACTCGCATTCGCATTTCTGCTAGAATTCGATGTGTGGTTGTGGCTTACTGATATGCGCTGTACAATAATAAACTAGTTAACGCCTCGTATTATCTTCTGAAATTTATAAACTGTTAGGAGTTATCTAGAAACAATCATCAGGACGAGTGGTATATGAAGCCTTAGGCATTTTCAAGAAGACAATCCACTACACGATACACGTATATCCCAAGTTTTATGTTGCTTACGGTTTAATTACTTAACGCGTGAGTAGAAAATAGGCATTTATTTACGCATATTACCCCCTGGAGGAACAGAGGCCGCCCAACAGCATTCTACACTCACCTTTCCCCCCAGCAATCCTTCCCAGTTGTTCCCATTTGCAATTCATTCTTTTGATGCCTGCTTCCGATTCCCGACAAGTTGTATTCTTCGGCCTTCTTTTCCGTTTCCCGTCACGATTCCGAGTTAGCGCTTGCCTCGTGATGCAGTTTCATGATTTCAGCAACCTATGTCCCATCCACTTCCAACATCCTTTCCTAATTCCCTCCTCATCTAGAACCTAGTTTATTCTCTCCCATAGTAGGTTATTGCTGATGGTATCCGTTCAACAGATATTGAATATCGTGTGTAGTAAACTGTTTATAAGAACTTGTACCAGTTTGATGATGGTTGTGGTATTTTTCCAAGTTTCAGCCCCGTGCAGCAGAACTGTTTTGACGTTCATATTGAAGATTCTGACTTTGATGTTGGTTGACAGTTGTTTTGAGTTGCATATGTACTTCAGTTGTAGAAATGCGACCCGTGCTTTGCCAATCCCTGCCTTCGCGTCTGCATCTGATTCTCCATGTTCATCGGTAATATTGTCAAGATATGTGGGAGTTTCAAGATTTTACTTTCTCCCTTATGTATGTTGAGACCTACTGATGCAGAATAAAATTATCCAATTTTATTATTTTGTCATATTCTAAAGTTCGTTGTACAAATAATAATGATGTAATGTCGTTGCACAATTGCTTCGTTCGAATTTCGGGACTGGACTGTGTGTCAAGAACTGAAAAATAGTTGCATTCTGTCATATGTACACAACTGAAGACATTTTTAATACCAAACTGAACACTTAATTTATAATTGATTGACTGTTAAATTTGAACGGTTGGAGATATCACAATAATCAATGAGTCGAAAGACAGCAATCTGAATTATATAACAAGTGTTTTTAATACATACTTCGAAATGCTGTTATGCAATAAATATATTTTTTGTTATATCCCAATAAGTAGAAAAATTGTATATCTGACGTTTCGTGACTTGATGTGGGCTACTTCTTTAGAGTAAATAAGAAACCGAACTAAATTAACCCAATGATTAATTTACTTGATTCTACAAAATACAATCTTGATACCTACAAACCCACTGAATTTTTATAGTTTACATTATGAACTGGCCTTAGACAATTTTAAAAAAGAGAAACAATCTGCAGTTATTTCGACCTAGAATAGGTCCCATCGCCGGTGGGTTATGGATAACCACTACTGAGTCTTGTAACAAGACAAAACAAATTTCCAGCATTTCCTAGTTTTCAATGATTGCTTAAATAAATTCAATCTGTGTTATAATCTGTAACAATCACCACAAACTCTTCCCCTCATCTATACAAAGAAATATCAGATGAATTCGAACAGGGTAAAAACCAAAAACAAGCATTCGTACATACATTACTTAAAGACATCAATTTTATACAGTAACGAAAGTCACGCGGACTACTTGGTTGGGGTCCGCGTGACTTTCGTAACCAATGGTTGGAGACTCTTGGTGACATGGCCCAGAATCGATCACAATGGCGTCGGTGTATACACTCCCTGTCTTCCCTTAAACTAAGAGATTAAAATCACTTCATACCTTTCTTTCTACGAACTAATTCTTCCTTCCTATACTATATCCTTATTGCAACCTTTGACCTAACCACTCCTATGAATCCGGTGTTCATCTTGTTGTGCTAATGAGGTATGGCAACCTGGACCGATGCACATATGTGCCTGGTCCTACGTTGTAGCTGACTGACTGACTGACATTTTAAAAAAGTGTTCAAAAATAATAATAATAATAATTAGAAAAAGTGAATTTGTTATGATTGTATACAAAAACAAAATTGTAGAGTTGCTATTTTGATTTTTATAAGAATCGGAAAATAAACATAAAATAATCACTAAGAGGTTTGATCGTTCTCTTTTTTATTCAATTATGAACATATGAAAGCGGTTCTTTAAAAAACAGGACAAAACAGGAAATTTACAAAACTCAACTTTCAACGAGAAACATTAATCAGTAAATAAGTAGAAGAAAAAAAAGAGATTGACATTCGAGATAAAAACAAAAGAAAAACATTTAAAATATCACCCGTAAAACAAACAAAACACAGCCTAGCTGATATGTTAAGGCATATTGGTTTTAGGGATATATATATATATAAAATTAAAATAACAAAGTCAATAATACGCATATCAGTTACAGTAATAACAATCTTATATTGAAGCATGGTTTTACGATGAATAGATGATCCAAAAATCAAGAAAACCAACCACCGATTATTACCATACTTGTCGATATTGTTCAAGACAGATATATATCAATGGAAATACTCACTTAGAATTATGTTGTATCATTTGTAAAATACTTGATGTTCATGTTTACAAAGAAGATAAATTACAAGTCAATCATGAATATAAATAAAAAATACGTCATAATAAATAATGGTAATGAGTACAGATCATAAGAAAATAACATTGTTCCAAAACATAAAAGTAGGTTCAAAAATGATGTATGTTTTATTTCTCTGATAATCACATAAATTACAGAATCTTGGAATGTTACCCCATTAATTGAAAGGAAATAAAAGAAGGAAAGAAAAACAAACAAACTGTGTATCATGTGTAGATTGTGATAAAATGATCATTATTATTATGATTAATATTATTAATGTCGACGAAAATTGAAACGTAAATTTTTTGTTCGAGATTGAGATTTTTTCATTTCAATTTCTGGTGGTGAGTTATGACTAGTATCTAAAGTAGTGTTGAATGCTGAAGGAACACTTATTCCATTGTTAGAAGTATTAAAAGTATTGGTAGTATTAGTGTTCGTAGTAGTACTATGACTGTCAGTACTGTGACTAGTACCACTCACAGTATTATTATTATTATTGGAATTATTGAATGAAGTTAGTTTAGTCCAACGGTTGGATACACTAGTACGTATACCGGCAGATGAATTCGAATTGCTGAAAATGAAAAAAAAGGATTTAAGAAGATGCGTACTGTAAAAACAAGGTTACATATAGTTGAAATTAAAAATGACACATTATTCCATTCTACTTTTACGTTGACTGAAGTTTCAGATGAAAAAGAAAGAACTACTATTATAGAGCGTTTGTGGTGATTATTGACTTTTATAGTTTACATCAAGGAATGACCCTAATTAGACAGTCAATGAAAAACCAGGAAGCTGTTTTACGTTACTAACACTCCACACCTACGACCTTCAGGCCTCGCAGCAAGAGTTTAACCGTGATCAGCCGAGTTCACCCACATTGAGTGTGAGGCAGTTACCCATCGATGACAATGAAAGATAATCGCGTGATATTATACACGATGGGATTAAACAAGTAAACCACTGGATGCTGATTCAGCGCTTGCTGAGAGGTCAGATGGTCCTAGGTTCGATCCCTGATGGAGTCGTTGATGTGTACTGCTACAGTGTTCCATAATGAAACGAAGCACTTATTTAATGCTCCCAAGTTTCGAATGGTTGTCTATACTAAAACCAGTTCGTGATGTAATTTTCTAAGCCATTAAATTGCTAATTCTCATTTCGGTCAGAAATGATTTTTAGAGTATATGGAATACGAAAATGCCATGTGTCATAGTTCTCTGAATATGACTAAGAAAAACAATCATATTTAATGCAAGGTTAAAGATCTTACGTGGGTGGAATATAAATTTATCCTTTTAAAACTGACAAGATAATTTATATGGGTTAGAATTCAATGTTTTATTTTAAGAAAATAAGCGAATTATCTTCATTTTTGACTAATAAAATACTCAAATGAGGGTTTACATGGGAGATCAGTGAGATTTTTTTTCAATTTGAGCATGTGTTATAATTGCAAATTAATCAAAAACTTATCATTTAATAACTTATACACTGACCAAAATGATAACATTAATGTAGAAACCAGTGCGCATGTATTACGATGATACCTGAGAAGTCCTAATATATACAGTGAATATATTAGTGCATAAAATTAAACAATATAACTCTCATAATTAATACTGTTCATTTAGATCCAATATCAATGGAAATATCTATTGATCAAGAGGTAAACATGTCTAGAAAACATGTTTGATAAAAGCAGAAATATGAATTATCGATTCTAATCAATAGCCAATAGCAAAAGTTAATTGATTTCTAAAAAAGAATAACTTTCATTATCTATGTTTAGTAAAGAAATAAACACTTCTATATAGTGTATGCAAGGTAGTCTCATTATAATTGTCAGCTTACTCTTGCTGTAACATATGTAGTTTATTACTCGATGTTAGGCAGTTGAAAAGAATCCTTAGGACGAGCATTGGTTTCATGTAAATCAGCCTGTAAGTTATAAGCAACGCAGAAATGAGAACATTTGTGCATCATTTCAAGTTATTCCACCACATCAACACTGTGAGATGAAGTGATCAAGATGTCATAGTAGCAATAGTAACAGTATCAGTGGAAGTAGGAAAGATTAGGTATAGACAATATTATTTGGGAAGGATAATTTCGTGGAATAAGAAAATAGAAGATAATTTCGAAACTCGGCAATTTCCTGGTTAGAATTTTTTTTAGCAAGATTCCTTTCTATGGGATGCTTAACCCTCTTCTTTTATACATATCTGAGACTGGGAGTAACTCTATAAGGGCTCCAAGCACTTAAAAGGTAAAAAAATAGTGAATGTATCTAAAACAATGTGACCGATTTTAAGCAATTTCATCTAACGTCTCCAATCATTGGCTAAAATAATATCGCATACTCCAACTAGGTAGTCTAAACTCAACTGGACGCCTCAGTCTAACAGTCAATAACTGTCATAGACTGATGACATGTATTATTTTGCCTATACCTAGCTTCCAAATAATTTCTGCATCAGCAAGCATCACGCATCAAAGTAGGTGGTGGTTGGGCATGGGTAATCCATGTCTTAACCAACCAATTAATAATTGCTAGGAGGAGGTCATCTACAATTGATTGAAGGCAGATAAATAATATTTAGTAGGAATAACTTACGAAGAACGTCCTTGATCATTTAATCGAAGATTCGAGTATAAATCAGATAAGAATTGTTCTACTTCACGAACACGACGATTATCTCCACTTTCAATTAAATCTAAACGTACACGATCTAAACCTGGAACTAACCACTGAAGTAAACTTTTCTCATTTTGTACAGCTTAATTCAAGTTAAACAATTGTGTTTATAATGTTGCAAGATAATTTAATTGGATTAAGGTTATAACTCAAAAAAGATTAAACAAATTATTAAAAATACGAAATGAACTGTGATCATATTTCATGTATGGCTAATGAACGTAAGTTGTGGTCAGCTACTATTGAACGTGAACTGACAGATATAGATTATTGGCCATTTAATTTGTGATTTTCTTTCATGAACTACTTTGTAATTGTGTTGAATAGAGTATTATCTAGACTATATACTCTGGTTCTCTATTACTGGTCATGAATTGAATATCTGATATATATAGGGTATCGGTAGAGTGATCTAATCTAATAGTAGTAAAAATGATTGTCATTGATTCATTCGAGAGTATTTACTACTCATATGAGTCATTATATATTTCCACTGACTTAGTCAGCTACAAGGTAGGACAAGGCAAATATATGCATAGGTTCAAGTTTTACTACAGTAATCTTTCTGACCATTTCATTGCATTTAACTCTTTATATTAAGTGATAAACTACATCTAAATATTAGACTATTAGGCAATACTAATATGTCTCGATTTAATATTAGATAACTTGTCAGCAAAATTTACATTTAAAGTTGTCTACATAAGCATTAGTATGACATAAATATTGTTGTAAAACTGTTAATTTAGGGAAGTAGAGGTGAATATGTAGACATCTTAACCTGATGCAATTTATATTTTAAATGATGCAAGTAGGATCGTCTTTTATCTGTTGAGTTTTTCAGTTCTTTCTGTGAACAATATCAATTCCATGACGGTTTAATATTCTAGTGCAGATTTTTAAGATGATGATTCTGTTTTCAAAGAATTGTACATTTTAATAGTTGAGATCATGAGTCAATTGAAGCTAAACCACCATTGGAAAACCTGAAAGCATTGGACAGTCATTTCATCTTATTGTGGGACTCCTCAACAGTGAGCATCCACGATCCAAGATAGATAGTTTTTAATCTTCAACAAATATTATGATAGATTATAAATTTACTTTAATGAAAGAGTTAACTATTTATTAACTTAAATATGGTGATATATGGACGACGTTCTAAGATGAAAAGCATGATATTTGATGCTTACTGGATATTTATTTGTTTTCAAGTAGTTGACATTCAATTTAGTGATGTATAGTGTGTTCTTGTACAGTTTTTCACATTCACTGACGAAAAGGGTTTGAAATTGCCACGTTTCAAATGTTCAATCTTGCGATATTTTTTTTAAAAACATGGAAAATAGTACATGATGAAACTTATTCACTACTATCAGTCAGTCAGTAACAACGTAGAACTTCGTACGTACGTACATCAGTTCGAGTTGCCACACCACATTAGCACAGTGATGCATTTGTCGAGTCAAATCCCATGGTGGCAAAGTTGGTAAGAGTATAAACAGTAATCAGGAAGATTAGGGTTTGAAGATGTTATTCAAGGAGTATAATCCAGTGAAATAAATTTGGAAAGAGAGCAAGTAAAGGGACATGAAGAAATCAGAAGATTAGAATTTGGGAGAACACAAAGAGTGGATGTACCTGTGCCATTGCAAACGATTTTGAGCCATGTCGTTCAGGGTCTCTAACCATCGGTTACTATCATCCCGCGGATCCCAACCAGGTGGTCGACACCTACCAACAAGGCTCAGTCCACTTGTCAGTGACTTCATGGACTTGTGCTATGTTTTGGTCTGGCCTATTCACTACCATGAAATATTTAAAATAAATGTATATCTTATTTAAATAAGATGAGGAAACAGCTACTAGAAAAAATTCTCATATTCAACGAAAGAAAATTAATCAGATTAATATATTGTTAATAGTTGTCTGATTGATAACAATAAAAAAAGGATACAATATGCAGCTGTCGAAAGAACTGTGAACAAATGATTAGCTAATTCAACACGTATTTCTAAACTTGGCAAAGAATTATTCATTTCAGCTAAATTAAAAAGCCATGGTAATATATCTAAAAACAGATATAATAAAAATAACAGCATGAATAGTACACATTAAAAAAATCAGTTTAAATATGACCTATGGTCATTTACGACCCGAATAGTTCAGTGGTAATGTCTAAGGCACTGAAGTTGGATGGTATGTGTCTAAATCCTGTGGGGAGACAAAGTTTCATCGGATTTCAGATATAGTTTGCTGATCTAGGTTTTCCTGCAAACTACCTCTGATCACCGAACAACTTAATATTAGTTATGCAAAACACAAGATAAGTTCCCTAATTTTACTTCAAGTAATTTGCTTAACAAACATGAGAAGCTGCGATCCATATTGCGAGTAAATAATATATTACAGATGGCATTAGATGATTGGGAAATACTACTACGGGTCATTTGGAGTTAAAAATAATGATCTAATGAATCACAAATCGGTGATTAAACATTGACCTATTTACTAAAAAAGGAATTTTTAAAAGTTATAATCTCTAAGAAGACCTCAGGTTATATAGTTTGATGAATAAGTGTTAGTTCTTTCTTGTAACGATAACCAAGAGTACAACTTTTTTAAAGTTTTTATTGCACATGAACTTTGGCTCGAAATGGGAACCAAACGGGTGCCTGTCACTTCTTTTTTTCACTCAGTTCCCGATATGATGATGGCAACATATGACATAAGAATAACTTCCAATTTAACAATATTTATGAACTGTTTTTATATTTTTCATTCTAACGTATATCGATGGCTTGCTCACACTTTTGGGGGATCATTTTTTTCAAACAAACATTCATTGTTTGTTTTATTTGACTCAATAAGTATGATAACCATATATAACCACGCGCCTTAAAAAAAAGTGATTACAAACGCTATTGTGAATTTAACTACAGAGAAATTCAAGAAGAACCGTCAAAATGGCTGGTACATTTTTCTCTTTGCTTTTATCTCTTTAAAAAATGAGGGCCGATTAACATAGCATTCATACATCAAACAAATTCGGAGATGAAAAGAGCAAGACTTTTCGAAAAGATTTACGGATCTATATGAGTGTTAGCTAGTCACTGTTTAAAAACTTTCTCTACATATTTTTTGAACTTCACAAGTTGAATTCTTAAAAGATGGGGATTTTATGACATTGCTGTATATATATATATATTTTTTTTTTTCTGAGAACATTATTGTAATCAAATCATATGGTATTGACTAAAGCGAGTATTGTTATCATTATGTAACTTACTATTTTGTTGAAAATTTTCACCACATATCGGAAGAAGACGATTAGTTAAATCTAGAAGATTATTAACTAATGTATTCCAAAATCGACGTTGTGAAATTATCAATCGATCCATTGTATAATCTATGCCTGTATTTTGTACATTAGAATTAAGTTGCTCATTGGAATTCGTTCGACCAACAACCAAATCATATTGTAAACTAAGTAAATCAAATGCCTTTTGAAAAGATAAAGATAAATATTGAAATATATATTGTTCGCTCTTAATTCTTATTCTTATTTTGAAAGAGCAAAGTTTAATGTCTAGGGAATATTTACTTGATAGTAGTAAGTGATTTGGGATATTGTTGGCAACTGAATCAGTAAGAGTATATGACATTGAATGTGAATTAGAATACTGGGTAGTGAGATGTTGAGTCAAGACTTTAATCAATCGAATTTGAGTGCCTAGCTGTGAGCCTGTATAGGTTCCAGAATTCGATTAAACTGATCATCTGATATCCGCATGGTGAGTTCGTTTTCTGTATCCGTCGCTATTGTTATCTTCTCCTAGCTGTCTTGTATCCTTAGAAAATTATACTTTATTCTTCTCATATCAAAACAAGAACTTTAAAAAGATTGCTGATTTACGTTTTAAAAAAGTATAATTTGTATTAGTAGCGATAGTCAACTGTTATTCAGTATGTTACAGTATATTAATGATTCCGGGTGTTGGATTGTTAAACATGCCTAAATGAAATGTTCTATGTAACCGACTCTAATTATCGTTTTTTCAGAGTTGTTTAAAAAACCGAAGTAAATGAATCAGTTGTACATAATCAATATAGTTTCTATTCAGTATTGTGGAAAAAGAGATGCTCAACGTTATTAGTTATGTAATACATACAAATAACAAATTACATGTAAACTCCTTACCATAATACGATAATTAGCATATTCATTAAATGTGTTGTTTGTTAATGTATCTGTTGTTGAAGCTGAAGTTGTATCCATTGTTGTTGTAGAAGAAGAAGGAATATTTTCTATTTTAGAGCCTCCAGAAGGATCACCACCACCAGCAACAATAGTAACAGAGGAAGAAGACAAAGTCGAATTTAGAAATGGTACACATATTAACATGATGAAACTGTACAATGGACCAAGTGAACAACATAACACACTCCAATCAGCTTGATCCGGTGTAATACGTTTACGTTGACCAGTTAAATCATCTCTAGTCACTTGACTAATAAATGGCCATATTAATCCTAATAAATTTGATTTGCAAATATCATTATGTGTTGTGAATGTCGACGTTGTTGTACTCGTATGTGAGATGTCATTATTACTATACGATCCACTAATAAATCGTAGAATTTCAATTAATCCATGAAGTAGATTAGCTACTGCTCGACGAACTGAACTATCAGCGCAACTTAAACATGGTCGTATTGCTGGAAGTAAAATTTCTTGTACAGCAATATCTAAATTCGTAGTTAAACTACAAATTGAGTAAAAAGTGAAAATGAGAACAGAAAAAAACTTTTATTAATCAAATGTGTTATCATTAAGTTATATTGTAAACTGGTTGAAATCAGAAATGTAAACCATTGAACGCTGACTCATCCAGTGTGGTATTAATGGTTAAACATTTGTTGCAAGACCTGAATGCTCTGATATTCGATTCCCGGCAAGATTATGAATAATCATTGTTAGGTCCAATACTAAAATGAAACAGCTATCCAGTCATCACTGATTTTCAATGGTAACCTAACTGAAATCAATTTGTGACGAATACAATCCATAAACATATCCCCTGTTAAGATTGAGCGAATAATTAAAAATGAGGAATTTTGAAAGGCGTTTTCAGTTTCAGTTTACATATTTTTAACAACTGATTTATGGTATTTTTCATACTGTCCTAATTGTCAGTTATCAACTCACTAACTGTCCCCGTATCTCACCATTATTAAATTAATCACTAACTTATTAATCAGTTTTGTGCTCTAAATGTATATATAGACTTAGTATTTACAGTGCTTTATATAAGCATATTGATTTGTTTTCAAGTTTGAATTATGGACAATAACACAAGGAGATTCGCTAATCTTTCTAGCGTCCTGTTGGTACATTTAGAATGGATGAGAATTATTTATAGGCTATAAATTGTTCGATACATACAGTCCAGTGTTAGTAGAAAGAAAATAAAAAGTAGTAACATTATCATTATTAATAATAATGGTATTCAGTGTAGATTTGGACCGATATGTGTGTATTTATGGGCTAGTATCGTCGCTTAAACTGAGGAGAGTGGAATGAGATTTAAGTTAGCTGTTGGGAAACTCATTACTTTCTAACGATCAGACAACAATCAGTATATTGCCTTAGCAACAGTCAGTGACTCAGTTGTAATCAACGTAAAAACCGGTAAAAATATGCGGTAGCCTAAGTTTTTATGATATTGTGGCATGATGAGAAGAAATTAACAAGATAAAGGGTAACGGATTTAAATTTACTGTGGTATCCATGATAATGAAGAAGACTAATCACTGAAAAAGTATTTTAAAGAGATACAATTGAAAGGTAAAAGTCAAAATCTAGGATTAGAAAAAGAGTTAGTGCATCTGGTTCACTGTGACCACTTCTGAGTAACGTCACGCGATACCTCCAACAAGTGATCGGGGCTATTCAGCAAACGCCCAATCTTAGCTAAGTAGTCGGCATGCACCAACAAAGCTCAGACTAATAATCAATAACTTGATTAACTGACGCTATATTTTAGTTTGGACGACTTTTTTTCGACTTACTCTTGTACACTAATTAACATTGCCTGTCAAAGTAGGCGATAGTTAGGGTATACATAAACACATACAATCAGAACACTACCATAGAATCTAAGATGTAACTGACAATTTTGAGGAAAAAATAAAGCACTATTGACACGGAATAAGAAAACTTACCAAAGACACCAAGCCGTTAAATTAATACAATGAAGTGGGAAACCCTCACGTGCATGTAAAAATATAGCACTTGTCAACAGCATTCTTACTTGACCTATTTCTGATTTCTAAAATGTAATAAGAAAATTTACTCTTATTTATTTATTAAAAGCTGTTTATAAACTGAACGATATGACTGTATCAAAGTTGAATAATAGCTAGAAGCTAAAAAATAGACGCACATTTCATCTTATTCGAAACTCACCAGTCGGAGGTAGTTGTATCTTAGTTATAGCAGATTTTCTGTTATTAGGTGCCTACGTGATTTATCCTAACATTTTTAATGAACAAAATAATCTAATCTCTTATTGAGTTATTGTGAACACACAATAGTGACTAGATTCGTGAGAAAATTCTCGTAGTTCTAGTGAAAAGCCGTGACCAGTGGAACTAATCCGTGTCGGGTAGAGACAGGTATCTACTTCAGTACAATGGAAGATGGTCGCGCAATTTCGTGGATTGGTTGAGGTTAGACATTAACACCCCCTGATGTCAGCTCAGTGGTCCAGTAGGTTAAGCGTTTGCGCGCGAGACTGAAGGCCCTGGGTTTGAATCCTGTGAGAGGGATTGTGGATGCGCACTGCTGAGGAGTCCCACAATAGGACGAAATAGCTTGCCAGTGCTTCCAGGTTTTCAATGGTGGTCTGACACCAATCGGTTCATGATCTCAATGAAAAAATATGTATTTGACATTGTTAATTGGTTTACTTGTTAACTGTTTGTATATTATTTAGAACAACAACATATATAAACGAACAATATTGTTTTCAATTAGGTCCTCATCAGGCTTTACTCTAATATACAGTAATATTTATATGCACATATGAAATTATTAAACCAATCAAGGTAGTTTATGAGTCAATTATAACAGTGGAATAGATTAAATAAATAAACATAATAAGTGAAAAGTATAGATTGATAATGTGATGATAGATGTACTAGTTGTGATAAGAATAACAAAGGTTTGAATCTGTTACATAATGGGAAATAGGTCAAAGATTAGAAATGTATAGACACTGAAATAACATTCATAAGAAGTATAAGATTATATAACTAGAAGTGTCCAGATAATTGAATCGTGAAACGTATATTTGAGGAAAAAATGGTAGGAGGGGATGAAGAAAAAGAAACGAAGAGTATGGAAAATAATAATAAATAGAATCATTTATAAAGGCCAAGGGAGGGATAAGGGTGTTACAAAATTCTTATGATCACAAAGATTTGGATTGTTGGCTCTAATTCATATAGCTTCCGCTATGTGTAAGAGACGAGAGTACGACAAGTCACTTTCAATGACCTATTTCTATCTACTACATGATCACTATCGGCCAAGTGTGATGGCACAGAGCTGCGCATTGTTTTAACGATACCCTTTCGTAACCACTATGTGAAGTGTTCACTAACTCATTGACTCAGTTGTCTGTTTGTGCACTCAATGCAGCTTTGTCCACAGGAGCAGCTGAATTCGTAGACACACATAAATGTGGCAGAATGAGGCATCACCATAGATCGGGTCAAGTACGATAGATAGAGGTTGGCTGCATTAAACATTATCTTCAACGCTCTAGTCAGTCTATCACGTAGTACATCACCAGCCGCATCTTCATTGAATTGCAGCTTCAGGGAGAGAGGTTTCTTACTAGCCGTTGATGTCTCTATTTTCTTGTTTGTTACACACAAGTGTTTCTTTAGGAAACCTTGTGAATATCCCATTTCAATCAACATATTATGATTGAGCTCTAATTCCTTGTCAATTGTGTCGGCAGAGCATATTTTCTTAGCTCTATTTGCAAGATATTTCACTGGGTTTCTCTTATAATGAAGGGATATAAAGCTTAAGAAATGTGTGTACTGACTTGATAAAGAACCTTCCACCTACACACTTCTACTGATAGAACCGTTTTCTTTTCTGGTTAACAAAACGTCAAGGAGACGTAGTTAATTATCTAGTTCCTCTTCACACGTAAATTTAATTGCTGGATGTTTGTTGTTAAATAGTTCTAAGAGTTCTTTTTTTCCAATGTTCCGATCGACAATAATGAAAGTATCATTAACGTAACGACAATAAAAGTCAAGCTTGTCGATAACCTCTTTGAGAGGTCCGTTTTCTACTTTCGCAAGAAAAAAATCAAGGATAGGACCTAGAGGTGAACCAATCGCTATACCATCAATGTGTCTATAATGTGTTATTAAAGACGACATGGACATTAATTGAACATTTCAGAAGTAATTCCTTGAGACTAACCTTGGGAATTTCAATGCTGAACTGTTTTTTAAGTAGTTCTTGGCACACAAAGTCAATAGTTTCGGTTAATGGTACATATGTGAACAAGGAAGCAACATCTAGAGATATAATCCGCTTTCCGTTTAAGTTCATATGTTCAACATTGGAAATAAAATCAAAAACGTCTTTCACGCTTCTGTTGACGACTAGTTTGTGTAAGTGAGCTAGGATTCGAACTAGCCACTTTGCAGTTTTATGGAAAGGCGAATTATGCATACTTTTTGTCATAATTTGTGACCGCCGATTAGAGGACAGTGACTTATCGATCGGACCAAGGACGCATAAAGCACGTTCGAGCAGCCTAGAGTCGTGATTGATCCTGCTTTCCGCCTAGCCCAGCCAGTTAAGTTCAGAACGCCAATCCGAGCCCCTGCGATATGAATCATTATATTTCAAACATACTGAGTTTATATATTAATCAAACAGACCACAACGTAGCAATAAAATGTGAAACAACATTTGTACAAGAATTAGCCAGATGTGGCTGTGAATGAGGGAGGTAGTAATTAATATACTGGGTATAACTCAACAATGGTAAAACGTATAATAATAGTTTATGGGTCAAAATAAAGCTTATAATAAGAGGAATATGAATATGCATAGTTTAGTTACTTAATAATTATACAATAGAAATACACGTTTAGTATTGGTCCATCAGTAGATCCCAAAAGTTACCATTCATTATTCTTGTCGGGACATAACAGATAGAGAGTATAAATTTACATCTATTATCACACTATCAATCTATACTTTTCACTTATTATGTTTATTTATTTAATCTATTCCACTGTTATAATTGACTCATAAACTACCTTGATTGGTTTAATAATTTCATATGTGCATATAAATATTACTGTATATTAGAGTAAAGCCTGATGAGGATCTAATTGAAAACAATATTGTTCGTTTATATATGTTGTTGTTCTAAATCACAATATGGGAACTTTCCAAAGTTTTCATATGAGAGTATGTTTGTTTATTACTTATTACATTGATAACTTGTCGTTAGCTAGCTTTTTCTATCTGATCACAAATGTTGAATCATATTGAATAAAATTGAGTTGGCTATTTCCACCACTCTAATTCACATGTATTTCGATTTATTTCTGGTTTTTCTCCCGTATTACCGAATGTCTAAACTATATACGTTCTTCAAATACTTTGTATGTTCGACTTTTTTATATCTACGCTGTTATTAACGGGATTTGTCAACAGAAAGAAAACAAAGTCAAATAAGACATATTCACATTATTCTCGTCCGACCAGTTTATGGAGCCAGCAACGGATGTTTAGTAGAGTTGACGTTCGTATTAACAATAGAACCCAGTACTTTTCGTTACGAACGTCAGTGGGTTATTCACTAAGCTTCTGAATCCAGGTAGCCATTACTGGCTTGGGCAACGAATATGGATTTTAATTGTAAACGAAGGAAAAAATTATCGATATGATTATCTTGTTGGCGTGTACTGTTGATTGATGTTAGTCAAAGATACATGTAAAGCTAGAAGTCAGTTTATTACATATCACTATCAATATGAACCAAAAAATTTCAATAATTAAAGGTATAAAAAGCCGTGGCGTGCTTCAAACAGATTGATTAGTTTCAAATTAAAATATTGTTTAATGGCTACTGAAATGATGAAACCAATCTTATATGAAAAAATAGGTCAGTTTGGATATTAAATTAAATTCAGGTCATAAAACAAGTGTCATCCATTCGTTGATCAATTAATTAATTTTACAGATCAATGTGAACACACTGTTTAACACCATTTATTTGACTTGAATATTACCTTAATGGTGTTTAGATCATCACTGCAGAAGTAATTGATCAAATGATTAAAATTTCCAAAATTTTGATATAATAAACTAGTGAATTATTGATTCAGGGATGTAAGCGTATTCGACAACTTTGGATTATTGAAATCTCAAGTTGACAGACAAATGGAGTTTCTCATTGTAATGAACGAAGATGAAGGTAGGATAAACTAATTTATTGTATTATAAGCGTAGATGGATATTGGCTAGCAGTTGAATCCGAGACGCGCGTTTTGTCCTATTTGAGACTCGTCAGTTGGATGCACCTGCATCCCAAATAGGACGAAATGTACGTCCTGGATTCCACTCCTAGCCAATATCCATCTATACTTATCATGCTTATGACTTAAGGCAATATTGAGGCAATCCGCACACGATGCACATATGCCAACAAGGGACTGATCAATTGCAGACCTTAACATCAATCGGAAAATTGGAGTAAACAATATCAAGTCAATTTATTGTATTATGCAAAATCACACAACTGAATTTGTATAATATGTTATTTGCACATCTTCCTTTAATTGTCCCCGACAACTTTATAAAGCCATTAATAATAATAATTCCTGTTATCATTTCGATTGTTTTATATTTTACTTTCTCTCTTATTTTTCCTTTTTGTGTCTATAAGAATTCTACTTTTAATTCTTGACACATACCATTTATATACGTCTGTACGAGTGGCACACATCACAATAGGATTTCAATTTTCATGTGACAAGACATTACCTCTAATTTTTCTATATACTATAAAGGTATTTTAAGGATTAATACACGAATACGATATGATTTTATATAATCAATATTATGAGATCAGTAAAAAATTTAGATCTTCATTTCGTTTCGATTACAAATCTCCTATTTTAGTGTAAATTGTATTAACTGTTTACAACTCCTGAGAAAACATATGGAACTCAAAACAACTGTCAACCAACATCAAAGTCAGAATCTTCAATATGAACGTCAAAACAGTTCTGCTGCACGGGGCTGAAACTTGGAAAAATACCACAACCATCATCAAACTGGTACAAGTTCTTATAAACAGTTTACTACACACGATATTCAATATCTGTTGAACGGATACCATCAGCAATAACCTACTATGGGAGAGAATAAACTAGGTTCTAGATGAGGAGGGAATTAGGAAAGGATGTTGGAAGTGGATGGGACATAGGTTGCTGAAATCATGAAACTGCATCACGAGGCAAGCGCTAACTCGGAATCGTGACGGGAAACGGAAAAGAAGGCCGAAGAATACAACTTGTCGGGAATCGGAAGCAGGCATCAAAAGAATGAATTGCAAATGTGAACAGCTGGGAAGGATTGCCGGGGAAAAGGTGAGTGTAGAATGCTGTTGGCCGGCCTCTGTTCCTCCAGGGGGTAATATGCGTAAGTAAATGCCTATTTTCTACTCACGCGTTAAGTAATTAAACCGTAAGCAACATAGAACTTGGGACATACGTGTATCGTGTAGTGGATTGTCTTCTTGAAAATGCCTAAGGCTTCATATACCACTCGTCCTGATGATTGTTTCTAGATAACTCCTAACAGTGTATAAATCTCAGAAGATAATACGAGGCGTTAACTAGTTTATTATTGTACAGCGCATATCAGTAAGCCACAACCACACATCGAATTCTAGCAGAAATGCGAATGCGAGTAAATGCCAGCCAGTAAAATAGGCGTATCAAGAGTTGAATGAATTGATAAGATTCAAGAACACAGGATGCCATCAGCATTAACCTACTGTGGGAGAGAACAAACCAGGTTCTAGCTGAGGAAATTAGGAAAGGATGTTGGAAGTGGATGGGACATAGGTTGCTGAAATCATGAAACTGCATCACGAGGCAAGCGCTAACTTGGAATCGTGAAGGGAAACGGGAAAGAGGAAGGCCGAAGAACACATTTCGTCGAGAATCGAAAGCAGACACGGGAGGATGAATAGCGACTGGAAAGGATTGTTCAGGACAGAGTTCGATGGAGAATGATGGTGGGCAGGCTATGCTACTCCATGAGGGGTAACGGGAGTAAGGAAGTAAGTAACACTGCATTAAATTAAAATAAAATTATTCATATTAAAGTTTTCACTTCACGTACAGATTGTGTAGAAGAAAGCAAACAGCAATAACCAGCTAAAAGTCCAGTTTGCATAGAACTGTGATCATATTCATAATCTGGAATATAATAATAATAAATAATCATGAAGGAGAAAAATTTAGACATAGTATTTCCTCTCCTTGAAAAGTTGATTCAAACAGACTCAATGTTAGCAATAAATTGAAGTTTCATTAGCTAGCTCGATTAATGATGAAATCCTTTTAAATGATGAACGTCGAAATATTTTAAAATGACATTAGTTAACTTTTTGTAAATACATGATAATCGATATAAAAACACATGAAAATGAAGTGTATGTAGAATAGATGGAGTTAGGCTAGCAGTGGAATCCAGATCGCGCATTTCGTCAATTGAATGTGCTTGTATTACAGAGTCCGTTGTTGCTACCTTGACGTGGTGGTCGGGCTTGCCTATCGTGATGAAGCAACCGAGCCATACTGGCTGGGACAATCGTTCCTCAAGGTCCTATCATGTCAGACAGGTCGGTTTTTTGGAAGTGGCGGCCTGCTTGAATATCTGGGCTACCTGTTCCTCCAATCTAGATATTTCATCAAGTTATCTGTTTTGTTGTTTGTTTTAGCACGTCATTATGTCTATTGTGCGCACAATCTATTCAGGCGCGTTTATGAAAAGTTTACAACCTTTCGCTATGCGTGATACAAAAAGGTACAATCAGCGACATCATGGTGGCTGGCAATATGTATTGAAACGAATGAGCATTAATCAAATGTGGATTACCGAACTCCTAACATCTAACTGGTCATCATTCAAAATTTATCGTCACAATCGATCAAGGTATAAGAAAATGAAATTTGTTGAAATATTTTATGCTGAGAATTCTATGTTGTACCAAAACTATAATGTTGAATAAAGCTAATAATAATTAATAATAATAATAATAATAGCAATGATAATAATAATAGCAATAATAATAATAATAACAATAATAATAATAAAGAGCGGTAAGACTAAAAGCAACAAACCCAAGGTCCGAAGGCGAAGTCGTACTGCTGACTGCATAGGTGTGACGGTAGTAGGATGTCTCTATCACACAACCAGCATAGCAGTGACGCTGCCTTCCCACAAAAAAAAGTGGGATTAGAAATTGTCGCCCCCAAAAATACATACCTCGCCTTATCACACGGATTTTCGCCTCCGACAGTAAGGTCTCAACAAGTACCGAACTAACACGAAAATTACTCACAAAAAGGTCGTGTGTGACCGACCTCAAGCAGTTGTCCCTTGGGCACTGCAATCACGCTCTCAGGTCACTAAGACCACCTCTAGTCAAATGCCCTTTTCAGGCACCCCTTGAAGAACCCTTCCACGGTGTGGGCTACGGAGGAGTGGTAATCACCCTCATACCTATAACAACACTCAAGATCACTATATTCATAATCAATCTCTCTCTTCAATTCATATTATTCCTTATTACTCGACTATCAACTTCAAACTTCCTCTTTTGACTCCCTCCTCAAATGTCACCATGGCCGACGATTTTAGTGTGCGAAACACTGTCCCAGGTCTATTGAAACCTCGCTCGAAACTACACATTGGAGCCTTCAACGTACGCACCCTATGTCAAATCGGTCAGCAGGCTTCGTTGGCTAAAACCCTAGAATCTCGTACCATTGATGTATGCTGTGTCTCCAAAACACGCATACAAGATCCTAGTGTGGTCATTCACTTGACCTCAAACAAACAGCTGATGAGATAATGTACTTTGTTCGAGTCCTAGAGTGAACATCAACTCTGTAATACAGTCAGTTAGTCAGTCAGCTACAACGTAGAACCAAGCACATATATACATCAGTCCAAGTTGCTACACCTCGTTAGTACAACAAGATGAACACCGGATTCATAGAAGTAGTTAATTAAATGGTGTTAATATATAAAAGAAAGATTGCACATAAAGACATAATACAAGAAGAAAGAATTAGTTCATAGAAAGAAAGATATGAAGTGATTTTCATTTCATAGTTTAAGGGAAGACAGAAAGTGTATACATCTACGCTATTGTGATCGATTCTGAACCATGTCACCAAGAGTCTCCAACCACTGGTTACGATAGTTATGCGGACCCCAACCAAGTAGTCTGCATCTACCAACATGGCTCAGACTACAAGTTAGTGACTTTAAGGACTGATGCCACGTTTTGGTTTGACCGCCCCTAACTTTCTTCCATCCGTCTCCAGCACTAGTCAGCATTGTGCGTCGTCGTAAACGGTGTTCGGACATACGTAACAAGTGACCCAACTACCTCAGTCGTTGAAGATTCACAACCTCATCAACTGATTTACAATCATTCCCTAATACCCTGCGTCTAACCTCACTATTACTTACCGCTGAACATGCATATTAAGGTTCTACTTTGCTTATGAACGACTGATTGAACACTAGAAAGTTTGGTTCCATCTAGAGTTCTCCAACCATAGCCTATATATATACACACAGAATAATCTAACTGGTTATTTTAAGTGAGTTTAACTTAAAAATATAAATGCTAATACTCATATTTAACACGGAAAATAAAAAATAAAATACGACCCATTAATTTTTCGAAAGTTACTTAATATGAAAAAGACGTTTCGCGACTTTACTAATGAATATGTAATTCAGTGATCGATCAACCAAACTATTAGAATCAACAAGATAGAAACTTATACAACTGTATCGATCCAGGTTGGCTTACTACTCAATAGCATAAAAAATACGATTTTATTTGAAACAACTATGGTATACATATCCTTAAACTTGTGGATATTGTTTTTAAAGTGACAAGTGAATCATTAAGAAAACTGTAGTAAATAGATAAATCAAAATATCGCGAAACTGTACATAAAATTTGGTAGTAAATATCCTTAATCAGAGCAATGTATAATCCATTGTGATGATAGCAAGTAGTCTACTAACTCCACCTCAAACTTGCATCTAGACTAATGGCCACATTGCAATTTGATTGATAACATTATATCTGCACTATTAAGGACCTGAGATACACGAAATTAATTACTACCCAATCGTAAATTTGATGATAACTCCAACAAAGTCTTCAGATGACCATAAGAGGCAAGCCAAAAAGCCTTCAGTATGGTGGCAGAATTGTTCAACATTAAATAGATTTCTGAAATCCGGCTGAACAACATCGAATAACTTGGAACTACATACTTTTGACACCTATTTTGTCTATGTAGTTCGGCGATGATGAATACATGAACAGAGTTACTTTACATAAACAGCAAACATGATTAGAGCACAGAACTTAAAACTTGATATGATGAACACGACTTCCCTCACCATCTAAAATCATATGTTCAATATCTGTTTGATTTTAAGTTAGTTGAGGATGTACATTCAGAAAAATGAGTTCCACACCCGTTGACTTATTTTTATTGTGAAAAATTCACTACTTATGAGTAAATTGATTCGTGTAGTACAAATAAAACGGAATTATCGGTAGAGTTTAAAATTCTAACTATTAACTAAAATCTAATTTCATAACATTAAACTTACTTCCATGTTCTGTTTGTTTCATTAGCTTGACTTTAAAATGTGGTGCAATTAGTTTTGACACACCATCTGATTTCAATGCATTACCAATTGAAACAAGAAATCGACATACTGAAAAAGCTACTTTAAAATTATTCGATTGTAATGTTTCTGTGCATGGATAAGCGAAATATTCATCAAATTGATGCTAAAGAAAAATGATAAGAATAAATCAATCAAATGAGTTATATGATGAGAAAATATAATAAGAGCAATGAAACAATGAAATTCAATAAGGATTGTTGCATATACTTGGAAATAATCAGTAGGAGAGACATATTTCCACTGTCAGCAAAAGTGTTTTCTTATAAACACAATAAATCGTTATACAAATATTTTCAAAGGGGGATTTTTGTCATAAACTGAGATTAGCTGCAAAATCATTGGAAATCAAGGAGTATTGGATAATCATCTCGTTCTGATACATAGGATAGTACTTGCTCTGTAGACACACAAATTGATGTGAAGCCACCTCAAATAAGTTTGGTAACAGCTGACTCAAAGGAGGAAACACCAACTTCAAAGAGGTCTGTTCTAACTGAAAATTCAGGAAATGAAGTTTCCTCTGCCTAGCAGGAAAAACAACCTGGCTGCCCAAATAGTCGATATGCAAGATATTATACATTCAACATCGTCAGTAGATTGGACAATAGTGCCAGACCACAATTGAAACAGCTTGGGATGCAGCGTTTTGAAATTTATACATAAAAGTTACTGCACCCACATCCCTTGGACTACACTAAGGGGGTCGAGAAAATCCCCACAATGGCTCAGTAAAAATGTTCATACCCTTCTCCGTAAGAGATGAACGTGGGAGAGATTTAAGTTACTAGGTACTGATGACACAAAATTCAATATCGAGAAGCTCGAAATATTCGTGTCTCGACCCTCAGAAATTTTAGACAGTTGTACGAGAAAAGACTTGTTAAGGAAGCTATCGAATGCCTCTAAACGCTTGTATTCGTATATAAACCAAAGGACTAAAAGCAGAGGAAATATTTCAGAACTATGGGGAAACAGTGCTGCTTCATTAGTGGAGGACGACTTTGGTAAAGCTCAAGTAATCTCAAACTACTTTAGCAATGTATATATCGTAGAAAAACCCTTCACGTCGGTTCATACAAATCCTCCCACACACACACACACGACAATGTGTCCATTGAAAAACTCGATGTCTTTGGTCTGCTAAATAAGCTTGATATAGGCAAATCCACAGGACCCGATGAACTGCGTCCTAGGCTACTAAAGGAACGAGTTAACTTCACTATGAACCCCTTACGTATGTTTTAATATGTCCGTAACCCAGGGTCGATTACCAAACGACTAGAAGAACGCCACAGTAAGTCCTGCCTTCAAAACGGGTACCAAACATAAACCTAAGAACTATCGACCCGTTAACCTAACTAGCGTGGTTGTTAAAATTTTAGAAAAGATTATTCGGAAGAAGCTGTTTAAGTATCTCGATGAAAACCGGATCCTTTCGGAAAAGCAGCATGGTTTTAGAAAAGCTTAGTCCTGTTTCACTAACTTATTCGTGGCTCGTGAAAGCTGGTGCGCTCTTAAAGACCAAAAGTTACCAATAGACGAAGCCTACATTGACTTCAGCAAAGCTTTTGAAAAAGATCCTCACAACCGGCTATTATATAAGTTAAGAAATGTCGAGGTTGTAGGGCAATCTATTAATTTGGATAAAAGACTTCCTAGTTCGGAGCCAGTGTTATTCCTCTTGTACGTAAATGACCTTCCTCGTCTCCTATCATCATCAGTCTTGCTGTATGCTGACGATATCAAGATATGGAGAGCGATAAGAAGTGAAGGTGATAGCTTAGAACTTCAAAATGACCTGGAGAAATCATCTGAATGGTATCAAACTTGGCAGTTGGCGATTAATACTTTCAAATGTATTATGATGCATATCGGCCATCAAGGTACAGATACATACACGATGAATAACAGTGAGCTACCTGTTGTCCGGACACACAATGACTTAGGAGTAATCGTAAGCCAAGACTTAAAAACTACTGCACACTGCCGTGTAATAGCTGCCAAAGGTTTTAGAACCTTATGATCAATATGTAGGATCTTTAGTCATGTCGATGCTAAAACGTTTTTGACTTTATATACAGTGTCCGTACGTCTTAAACTTGAGTACTGCATACAATCAGCTAGCCCCTGCTTAAAAAACGACAGTGAATTTTTGGAATAGGTTCAGAGAACAACAGCTAAGCTGATTCCCGGAATAGCGAAGCTCCCGTATGATGCTCGATTGGCTAAGCTAAACCTATTCCCCTTGTCATATAGAAGAACTAGAGGCGACTTGATTACAGTTTTCAAATCGCTTAGTGCCAAATTTGCACCTGATATGCCCTCATTTTTCTTGTCTTCCAAAACAGAGACTTTACGAGGACACTCCAAAAATGTTCATAAGCCGAGAACAAATTACTTGTCAGTTGACTATCGACTTTCCCATCGAGTCATCAAAGAGTGGAATTCATTACCTCAACATGTGATTAAAGCTCCACCTGTCGAAGCTTTCAAGAGAAAGTTGGATCAACTGACAGACCATCACTGCCAGGACTAACACAGGCCATCTAGCATCCTGTCCTTTTCAAACTGAAACTGATTTTAAAAGATAGAATAGAAAACTAATTGGTGGAAACCGACAGTGATAAGTCAACGTACAAGACAAATAGGCATTTAAAGTGTGTCAATGGAGTAAGATAGTTCCCTCTCCCCCGTAATTCAATAGAGGTCATTCGTGTTTCGATTAATTGAGGATACACAAAACTCATCTCTTCACATTACAAAATTGATAAAATATACATGGTGTAGATTAATTACACTCACTTTAATTACATCATCAAAACAACCATTAGCATAATCCAAGTCGAGAAATGATTTCATTTTTAAACAAAGATCACCATTATTACAATAAGGTAATTGTTCTAGCAAGTCAATTAATTTACAGATTAAATGTTTATCAAACCATTGTTTTGCTATCCATTTATCGATTTGACATATATGATTAGCGTGAAATGATTGTTCCAAATCACCAGTTTGATTTGATGATAATGTTGATGGTATGGTTGACATTGACAAGTCTGACTTACATATATATTTCATCATTTCTGATAATATTTCAAAGCTATCTTGTCCAAGAATTATTGAAGTATCAATGAAATCCAATGTGGTGTTGATGTTGGTAATGGTGGTGGCAGTATTAGTGGGAGAAGATTTGACTAAGTCAGGCTCTGTGTGATCCATAATGTGAAGAATAAAAAACAACAGCGTTTGTAGATCGAAAAAACAAATAGGTAAATAACATAAATAGTAAACAACAGTAATCTAACAGTAAAGGGTTGTGCTATATTCGTTTCCTTGTCATTCGATACTTATACATCTTATGTGTGTATCTGTATACTTATTATCTTATACATTTTTCCTTGATCGCACTATCCGCTGTCTATTTTGAGTGACATTAGCGCTTATAATGAGTAATGTTTTGAATAGTGTTTTGCCTGTTCCACTTTGCATCCTTTATTGTCTGTTTATATTAATGGCTGTATGAAATCTATGTGGCCAAAATCACTCTTGTATTTGACTTGTTTTATTCCGTTATACGCTAACGTGATGAAGTCCATGACAATATACTAGATTATTCAACAACTTATAGTTCATCATTCGTCCGTGATACTAAATACAGTCGACAGCTGGCACTAAATTGATGAGCATATAATTTTCAGCGCCAAAATTAGTATTTCGCTAAGATACAACCTAAGGGTGAGAGTTCGAGTAAACCAGGTTCCATGTTATCTATGACTATAATAAATTACTTAATGAGCAAAGGAAAAAGAATTAACTGAAATAATTAGTTAACATATATGAGTTTATTACTCTTACCTTTAAATGTGAAATTCTTTCTCAAAAGATGTTCAAATTCTGAAGTCGAATTACGATAAGCATGAAGTAGATTTCGCATAGACAACCATAAACTTTCATCAGGACTTGATTTTTTTATTAATGATAATAATAACCAAGCATGAAGAAATGGTGCTAAATAATATAGAGTATTTAAATAAAGCAATACCATATCAGGTGCGACCTCATCTTTAGTATTTTGACGTGCCTATAAAAAGAGAAGAGAGAGAGGAAATCTTTCTTAACGGGACAAATATTGAAAGAACTGGGAAGGGTTTTTCAGAACTTACTAATTAAAAGTTTGCTGTAGTGAGTAGCTAGATTACTGTGTGTATATATGTACTGTCATACGAATTAATATTCCTAATATGTTTCCAGTCTATTAATTACAGTTTGGTCTATTCACAGTCACTTATTTCTCAATTATGTACAATTTTTATTTTTCACTTTATGGTGTAGTGCTGTTCGGGATGTCTATATCTAAACCACGTCTATTTACAATATGAATACGGTAGAAGCTGGCTGTTGAGTTAAGGACTTAAGGCAGGGGATAGAGAGAAGTTTACGGATAACAGACTTAGCTGCGTTGGCTCAATGTCAATGGTGCTGATGGATCATGTAACTGGATGAGCCGGAAACACTAGGCTACATAAGAAATTGCAGTCGGTCAGTAAAGCAACCCTGTAACTGAAACTGGACTTAGGAGACAGCGAGTGGAATTTTAACACGTCAACTCAAAAGATCTGTTGAAAGGATTTTTCATGCCGCAAAGTTACACATAATTTTCTCAACTAAACTAGTACTTACACAACAAATCAAGGATGGACTCATCCATGTGTGTATACCGATTCAACTGCTCATGTGGAGCTAGTTACATAGGCAGTACTCAGAGGGCTTTATTCTTGCGTGTTCGTGAACATGTACCAGCATGGTTGGGAAAAGGAATTACTAAAACGATTTATGGTACCATTCTTTCTCAATTGGTAGATAGTTAACCTCATATTCAAATAGAAGGAGTTTTCTGTTTTATATCGAGTTCCAAAGAATTTACCTCAAGGAGCTAGATTACGGTTACTCTATATAGCCGAAGCCATCTGGATCAACTCCAGAAAACCAAACATATGTATCCAGAATGGATATATCCAACCTCTATATTTACTTTGGCCTACAACCGGAGCGTAGGATATTGAAAACCTCTTACCCCCCTTCCCCGTTTTTTGGTTACAGGTTTCTGAATCTTCATATTCATCTTTCCAAATTCACATGAATCCTTTCTATCGTAATTGTCTTGATAACACGCCCATCTTATTACATATTATATTCACAAAACGATATTATTATTACCTCGATTAACAAGATGAAATTCTCCTACTACGCATTTTATGCACACGATTTTTTTCCATTTTCATTTTGTTATATTACTATCATACTGATTGTGACTTGACACTACTCCAAATCATTCTGACCTTTCTAATTTACAAATAACAATATTTCGAAGTATTTATGTCATAACATATGCTCACGTTGGTCATTTTTAACATATAACATTGTCCATTTGATTAATACATGCCTTATTTGGCCTTAGTAAAATATCACAATAATTATGGACTTAGAACTGTAGAGCCTGATGATGAAGTTATTGAAAACAATTGTTCGCTCGAATATTCTTCATTTTTGAAAAGAGATTTATGAAGAAATGTTGAAACTCAATTATTAGAGTCAAACAAAGAATTGAAATGTCTGTAGCCATTATGACCGATTCTAAACTACATTATTTGACATCACTAATCACTGATCCTGTTTATCGCGCGGACCCTAACCAGGTAGTCTACATTTATCCACATGGTTCTAAGCAATAGTTCATAATTTTACGAACTGACGTTTTGATCTGGCCAAAAACGTGTACACTGTTGAGTTTAGTTGATCTGTTTTTATGTAATTTAATTGCAATACCACTCAACTCGTGTTACTGTTAGTACAGAAAATAAGAATCTGGAAATACCATGATGTTGTTTTATTTTAGGACTTTGATACAACTGAGTGATAATATACATTATTGTGTGGTAGAATTAACTGTATTAACTCGTATTAATTAAACCGGACTAGATGGAGAGGAGCATGGAACCAGTCAGGTAGTGGTAGAAATTCTGCATCGTATCAGTAGTATAGGGTGCATGGTAGTGGGAAAACTGGAAGATCATATGATCAGTGTGTGCGAGTTAGTTGGCTAGTTGTTTAGTCAACAATGTGATTCAATAACATGTTGGTGACAATCGATTATGATTAGTATGATCGAGAGCGATAGTGGCCTGTGTGTGACTGTCAATGGTTTGTAAATGGTGTACTGAGAATAATGATTAACGTATTGATCAGGTAAATGAGAGTCAGTTGTGACAGTTGAGATCATACTTCTAGGGATCAGTCCTATTGTACGTATCACCAGGACGTCAAACAAACTTGACCCTGATGCTGTTGTAAAATAAACAGTAAACACACTTATTAGGATTCTTAAAAGCCCCATTTATATTCAGGATTGACGTTGGATTAGCTTTTCGTGCCATAATTACATTCTAATTGGTTGTGGTTGATAAAATACTGCTTTAGCCATAATCTAAATATTTATTATGATTTTTTTTCAAAAAGCAGAGACAATATAGACTTACTAAAATATAATTATCGAAATGAATTAACCATGGATCAAGTAGAACTTGTTGAATCGAGTCTAATTCTAAACACCATTGAGCTATAGATGATAAGAAATAATTCATAGTAGCATTATATATGGGATTAGATAATGATTGCACCGTTGTCGTTGTTGTTCCCGATGATGATGAATTCTTATTTGATAAATAAAACAGTTTCAACTGTTGCGGATCATTGAATATATTTGCAGTTTGTATAAGAAATGAATTAAGTCGACGTATAATTTGTGGCAATTTATAAGAATCCGACATTGAACTAATTAGACATGACAGAGAACGTATACTAGCTGCCAGTACTGTTGGATTACGTTCTTCATCCAGGCTGGATTCCATGATACATAACATTATGGAAGATTGTAAATGCGACTGCAATCATAATAATAATAATAATAATAATAATAATAATAATAATAATAATAATAATAATAATAATAATAATAATAATAATCGAAAAAAGTGAAATGGGGAATTAGGAAAATAAAGGTAAGTGGATTGATAACTGAAAACGTTAATGTTACTGATTAGGTAGAGATTTTTGCGTAGGCGACGAGAACTTGAAAAATAGAGTGGGATGCCTGAACTATTAATTTATACTTCAGATTGCATGAGTTTAACATGCACCCAACTCGAAAGATTATTTTGTCATGAATGATCTCCATCTTTAACTCAGTTGGGTTTGTAACTGAAATGATCTCATTGGCTAGAGCGATCTTACAAAGTGCTTATCCACTGAGCGCCTCAAGAGGTGTGGTTGTTAGTATAAAATTATAAAGTTTAAACTTATTGCGAGTATCATGATGTCTTATACCAGAATCGTTTATATAATCATCTGTTTAGACGCATTACTTCGCTGACACTTCTGAGTTGGTGTACAGTATCGCAGCGTATTTTCGCTACGAAGGTTTGCTAACGAAACATATTATTCATTTTTATTAGCTAAGGTCAAGATGGCTACACTGAAGTCAGTAACTATATCTAGAATGAAACTGAAAACCTCTATGTTATCCTCCATTATCGGAAGACTTATAGGACAGTAAGCTATATATATATATATATATATATATATATATATATATATATATATATATATATATATAATCTACTAGTTACAGTCTCCCATATTTATAGCTAATATGGCTTGATTTTGTATAATTGTTAGTTTTCATTTTATGGTGTAATATGGTCTGATCTGTTTATGTACAAGCCAGGCATGTCCGAATTATACGGTTCATACAGAGGGAGCTGGGATTGTATTCTGAACTCAAACGGGCAGAGCTGTACGAGAAGAACCAACAAGGACTCAAAGTTAATTCTAGGCTGCTCGAACTGTTTAACAAGTCAGTGGTTTGGTACAGGGTCAAGGTCGTTATAGGTTGGTGTTCTGATTGGCGATCTTGTCATGTAATAGTTTGCGGGCTAAAAGACGTTATATCCGAGTGAAGATTAAATTACGGGTAACTTCTGAGGACTATTAATGGACTAATATTCTATAAATATTCTTATTATTCAATAATTACATTATGTATATTTATATTTCCCTTATTATAAGCTTCATTTTGACCTATAGTTTATTATTAAACGATTTACGGTTCTTAATCTATGTTCAGTCTATTAATTACTATCTCCCGCGTTCACAGCCACTTTTCGGCTTATTTGTGTACACATGTTGTTTTCTATTTTATGGTAAGTTGTGGTCTGTCTGGTTGATATATAAACCGAGTATGTCTGAAATAAACGATCCAATTCATATTGCAGAAACTGGTGTTGTGTTGTGGACTCTAGTGGACGAGCTGGAAGGACATAGGACCAATAAAGACGCTACACTGCTCATAGCGCTTGAACGTCATTGGTTTGGCGTAGTGTGAAGATTTGTATAAGTCGTATTCTGATTGGTGGATAAGTCGCATGATAGAAAAGCCAGACGTCAAGGTCATAACAGGACATAACGGGTTGAATACCTTGTTAACGAGTATCAAATAATAATGAACTTACATCAAATAGGGTTTTTTGTCAACTACCTCCAATCACCTAAAATCTCAGTAATAAACAAATCGTTAAGATTTATTTAATATCCATCAGTTGGTAAAATCCAGTAAACTGTACTGTACTTCATCTAGCCATTAATAGGAATTTATTCAGATTTATGTATAAATAACTCAGATTATCAGTCTTTCATAACAAACATTTTAAGTATTTCGACTCGATTATAATAAATTTGCGTACTATTTTTGCTGAATGTACTACACCCGACCGTAGCTGCTACCTTGACGCGGTGGTCGGGCTTACCTATCGTGATGACCCAACCGAGCTATATTGGCTGGAACATATGTTCCTGTAGGTTCTACCATGCCAGGCAGGTCGATTGGAGAACGGTAAGACTAAAAGCAGCAACTCAAGGTCTGAGGGCGAAGTCGTACTGCTGACTGTAGAGGGTGTGACAGCAGTAAGGTGTTTCCCTCGGACAACCAGCATTGCAGCGATGCTGCCTTCCCACAAGGAAGGAAGGGGTTAGAAAAGGTCGACCCTAAAAATGTCACACCTCACCTTACCTCACGGATTTCCGTCTCCGGCGGTAAGGTCCTTTGAAGAACGGAGCTAACACATTAAAAACCTTCCACAAAAAGGCCGTGCGCGACCGGCCTCAAGCAGTTGTCCCTTGGGCTCTGCGGTCACGCTCCCAGGTCGTCAAGACCAACACTAATCCAATTTCCTTTTCAGGTTCCTCAAGAAATACCCTTCCACGGTGTGGGCAGCCGGGAAGTGACATCAGCCCTCATACCCGTAACAGCACAAGAGACCAAGGTGGTCACATTCAAATCCTTCCTACACCTCCTAATACCTCTCTTATCTCCATGACTAACCCTCCTCACGTCTCTTTATCACCTCGCACCGCTAGGGCAAACGATTTGAGTACGTGGAACGCCATTCCTGGTCTCCTGAAACCACGCTCTAAACTACACGTAGGAGCTTTTAACGTACGAACACTTTGCCAAATAGGACAGCAGGCTTCCTTAGCTAAAACTTTAGAATCTCGCGCCATCGATGTGTGCTGCGTCTCCGAAACGCGCATACAGGATCCGAGTAGCGTCATTCATTTGACCTCACCATGCCAAAATAAAGAACCGACTCGATTTACGCTTCGTGTATCTGGAAGCCCTGATTCTGCTTCCCGTGGCCTCGCCGGCGTAGGTATAGCATTGAGTCCTAGGGCAGAACTAGCTCTCTTAGAGTGGATCCCAGTAGACAGTCGTTTGTGCGCTGTCCGACTGAACGGAACAGTAAGAATCCGGAAAGATAGGGACACTCGTCGTTGCCTCTTCGTCGTCTCTGCCTATTCTCCCACTGACTGCAGCTCAGATGATGTAAAAGATGAGTTTTACAGAAAGCTTTCGGACCTTCTCCGAAAAGCTAAGCGCTCGGATGTAGTAATAGTGGCCGGTGACTTTAATGCTCAAGTAGGTAAACTAAGCGATAGGGAAAGACACCTAGGTGGATCTTATGGTGTCGTGGCTCAAAGAACAGATAATGGCGACCGTCTGTTGCAGCTATGCTCAGATAACCGCCTGTTCCTTGCAAATACTAACTTTAAGCATAAGGAAAAACATCTTTTAACATGGCGACCCCCTAATTCGTCCCAACGTTGGACCCAAATAGATCACATCGCTATCAGCCACCGATGGAGGGGCTCGATAGAAGACTGTCGCTCATTCTGGAGCACATGCCTAGATTCAGATCATGCTCTAGTGCGAGCGCGTATTTGCCTGCGTCTTACTGGACGTAGGAAAGACGCTGCAAATAAACCTCTTAAGGCCCTACTTAATGATAGTCAAGCTAAGAGTATATTTCAGGAACAACTAGGAAGACAGTTAGGCAGCCATATATGTGATGCCCACCCTGGGGCGGCATGAAGTGATATCCGAAAAGCTGTGGAAATAGCAGTGATATTGCCAGTACGGTAAACAGCAGCAGACCCTGACAGGTTTATTCCTGAGATTTTTAAGGATGGTGGTCCAGTATTAGCAGTGAGATTGACTGAGGTCTTAGGTAGAATTTGGGAACTGGACGTAATCCCATCTGACTGGTCTCAATCACTGATTGTGCCAGTCTATAATAAAGGACAAAAGTCCTCTCGTGACAATCACAGAGGAATCAGTTTGACTAATATAGTGTCTAAAATATTATCTTCAATAATATTTCGATGCCTAACTAAAGCTCGTGAAGAGCAGACTAGAGAAAATCAGGCTGGTTTTCGACCTGGACGTGGTTGTATAGATCAGATATTCACACTAAGTCAGGTTCTAGAACACAGACATACGTTCAGACGCCCCACAATCGTAGTATTTCTCGACCTTAAGGCGGCATTTGACTCTGTTGATCGTGAGGTTCTATGGCAATGTTTGTCACTGAAAGGAGTACCAAAGAAGTACATTAACCTTATAAAGGCTCTCTACTCGAACACAACTGGTCGAGTGAGAGCTTATGGCGAACTGTCATCAGAATTGATTACCTCAAGTGGTGTTCGTCAGGGCTGTCCAATCTCCCCATTCTTGCTCAACTTTGTCATTGACGTACTTTTAGAGATAACACTCTCCTCATCTAAATTTACAGGGGTTGAACTTCTACCAGGAGGTTCACTTGTTGACTTAGAATATGCAGATGACATAGTTTTATTTGGTGAAGACGCTGACAAAATGCAGAGTCTTCTGACCACTCTAAGCAACAATGCAGGCATGTTCGGGATGCGATTCTCTCCCTCGAAATGCAAAATGTTGCTTTAGGATTGGGTTACATCGACACCCGAACTAATGATAGGGAGTGAAGTAGTTGAGCGTGTCGATCGACTAGATTTCGCCAACTTGTGTCATTTATGGCGTGAGCGAGATATCCGTCTATCAATCAAAGGACGGGTTTACTGCGCAACAGTTCGTCCGTCCTACTTTATGGCAGTGAAACATGGCCGGTAAGAGTAGAGGATATTCGTAGGTTACTAATATTTGATCATAGATGTCTTCGAAATATTGCTCGTATATCCTGGGATCATCGAGTAAGTAACGCAGTTGTTAGGAAACGGGTACTAGTTAAGGATGGCAAATCCATTGATGACGTAGTGAAACTTCATCAGTTGAGATGGCTGGGACATGTGTTACGTATGCCCAACCACCAACTGCCTCGGCGTGCGATTTTCAGTGGTATAGGAGTAGGCTGGAAGAAAGCTAGGGGCGGCCAGACCAAAACATGGCACAAGTCCACGAAGTCACTGACAAGTGGACTGAGCCTTGTTGGTAGGTGTAGACTACCTGGTTGGGATCCGCGAGATGATAGCAACTGATGGTTAGCGACCTTGAATGACATGGCTCAAAATGGTTTGCAATGGCACAGGTACATCCACTCTTTGTGTTCTCCCAAACTCTAATCTTCTGATTTCTTCATGTCCCTTTACTTGCTCTCTTTCTGTTGTGGATACAGAATAATATGCCAATCATTGTCATGTTAAGTCTATGGTGGCCTTGGACTTTAAATGTACATTCCCTATTGGCTATTATTTAATTCATTCGTTACATATTGTGTAAATGTTGTTTACTATTTTTATGGTACGATGTGGTTTGCTTGTTTGGCATATAAATAGAGCATTTCTGAAATACAATGATTCATATCTCCGAGGCTGTGACTTGTGTTCTGGACTCAACTGACTGGGCTAGACAGGGAAGTGAGACCACTCGAGACTCTAGGCCGTCCGTACGTGTTTATGTGTCATCGAATCGATCGATAAGTACGCTGCCCTCTAATTTTCCAGTCAAGGACACAATTAGCACAGGGTAAAAGTCGGCCGCAACTTAAAGTCATAACACTTTCCAAATTTATTTCCCTGGATTATACTCCTTGAATAACATCTTCAAACCCTAATCTTCCTGATTACTGCTTATAATCTTACCACCTTTGCCGCCACGGGATTTGAGTCGACAACTGCATCTCTGTGCTAATGTGGTGTGGCAACTCGAACTGATGTACGTACGTACGAAGTTCTACGTTGTTACTGACTGACTGAATATACTAAACATATCGCTGATTTATGTTCAAGCTTTCTGAGGATTTAAGAATACTATTCGACTGAAGAACAACGGCTGAGACTGATGACAGACAAGGCCAAGAGTGTGAGAATCAGCTCTCCCCCTCGAAATGCTCTCACATGACCATGCGTATAAAGACACTGTCAGAGAAGTCTTACTATCTTCTCGTGGCGTGGGTGTTTTTTACTAAAATGAGAGAACAGAAAGCGAATGTCCAGCGCTTTACCCGGATTGGTGAATCTGGAGGATCCACCTAAGGGGTTAAAAATCCTTGATTCCATACCAATGGTGCACATCGGCTTCAGGATCATGAGGGAACAAATGGCGTATGAATCGAATGATTTGTGTGGCGCTTTCTTGTACCAATGTTTATGTGTTTAAATAAATAAAATTCCTATCGGTAATATTTTTGTGAATACATAAATTCATTATGAATGTTTTATATACAATCAGTAACTAACCATTTTGAAGTCATTCAGTCAAAACGAAACGGAATCTCGCATCATTTGTAGTTTAAGTAATAGTGTACAACTGGATCAGATAGTTGGAATCGCCGTTGAAATAAATCTCGCGATGAGATGCCAGTAAATTTATAGCTTGGTGAACATTCAACTTCGGCGGCCTATGCTCCATTGGGAGTAACAGGCTTAAGTAAGTAAGAACATTCAACTAGCTGCAATCGTCCAACTTTACTTATTAATACAAACACTTAATTCAATAATTTTGGTGAACTTTCAAGAATGCGAACATAAAAGAAATGTCAGGCAGACCTGTTCTTATTCTTATTTAAAGTAAAACAAGTACTGGGATAATGCTTTCGTACCAGGGAAAACTGTGTAGCACATTTAAAATCTTACTGTATTAACTTCTAGTTTCCATTTTCATATTATCTTAATCTCACATTTGTGTTATTGCTTATTTTCGTTGATTGTTTTCGTTATTAATTGCAATTGCAAACAGCGTGTTTCATGAGTCTGTTTACTTTGTCTCTTGTTCTTTTTTTCAGATTTATTCATACTCTCTCTCCACGGGATACAACGTATCTACTTTACGGCCAGACGAGAACAGGTATATATTTGCAGTTTATTTGGAGGGTTTACCCCGTGGGTAATCCCAGATTGAGTTATACACTATAGAATATGAAAATACAAACCAATCGTAGGCCAGCAATCATAGTATAAGACAATAATATTATTTTTAACTAACCGGAAGGTGAGGAGCGATTACACCGCAGGCCGATACTAAAAGAAGCCTTCTGGATAGATCAGAAATTGGACATTTATTTATTTGTAACCATAATCCCGGTAACAGTTCACCTTCCAATCGAGCAGGACCTATACAATAAGGATAGATTGTAATAGAATGATTTGTTAAAAGTACGACATGAAACGCTTCGTATAAAATAACTTTCCAACTTTTGTTTAAAATGTAGATCTAATATCAGACAAGCGAATAATATGCTTGAATTAGTTATAATAATATGCTAACTTAACGCTGTGAGTTGTATTTACCTCTTTGTCATCAAAGATCAAAGGTGAATAAACGATGTCATCAAAGTGACAGTATGAACACGTAGACAACACGACATTTAGATAACAAAAAAATGTTTTTAGTTCCAATACTGATAAAGATCATTGATTAATGAAATTATTAATGCATTAATAATAACTCTAGATTTGTGTATATCAGTAGAGATTTTGATTACCGCGTATTGAAATTCATGAATGGAAATGAATCATAATAAATGCAAGTCGACTTAAAAAGCAAACTTTTAAAATGTAGAACGTTTGCGGATGGTGAAATGTTTTCTCTATCAATGATGGACAGAATTCAGTTAGTGCTAAGAGTCTGATACGTTTATCTAGGTTGTTTTTATAACTTTCATTTTCTTGAGTAATATTAAATTTTATGTGTATGGGGTGGGATACTACTGCCTGAACGTCTAAACTGAATCAGATGGTTTTCCTAGGGAGATCAAACTCTGAGCTTTTGACCCAGAGATCTAATCCATAAAGCCATGAAGCCACTGACGTCGAGAAATGAAGTCCAATAATAACCAGTGAGAGAAATAGGTTCGTACACCATTTGTTTACTAGAATCCTAGAGCCTGTTATGTATACCAATGTTTGATATAAGGACTTTCTAACTTAATCAAATGGATTATACTCAGTATTTATAAACCCGGATTAGGCGTTGGATGCCCGCCCATAAACCTTTCATAAAAGCATACTCGTTAAGTGAAAGGTGTGATGACTTTTCTACCATACAGTAAAAAGACGTGTGGCCATTTGACAGCGTTTCAAGTGAGAGGGGAGACTCTTCACACTCTTAGTCGTACATGGGTATCAGGAGGTATCTTTTATTAAATACTATTCTTCTGTACTCATTCATAGACCTTACGAATTTCTCCTTATCTTTTTCTTCACTAGGTGATCACTAAATTTGTGTGGAGCATTTCTTTTTGCACAAAAAATTACATTGAGACAAGTCAGAATTACGTTTAACTGAGACATAGTTGCATTTGATTTTTTGCTAAAAAATGTTTTTTATGGAATTTAATATGCTCTTATCATTCACACAACATACAAACTAATCCGATGGAATTAATAAGTGGATGAAAGTCATCAAGGATAAAAGTGTCCTGTTTTGTCTACAATCATGTGCTGTGTATGTGTAAATAAACTACTCTTGAGGTCAACTGCTTGCTTTGTACCTAATTTACACCGTAATTACCCGAACACGACAAACTTAAATAATAAACGAAGTTGTAGATTTCCTCACTGTTTCAAACATCTCGTAACAATATTAGGTGAACGGAGGGAATCAACAGAAAACTCTGGAATGGAGTTTTGTGCTAGTTGGTACTTGTCAGCAATATTTAACAGCAATCTTGAGGGAAGTGGTGAACGCCGGTGATCACGCAGCTTTAAAATCTAAGAATTTACCACTGACCGATCCAGAGAGAGATCGACCTCTTATAAGACTGAAAAATTCACACTGATCGATCACTGGGTTATGGCTAGTGTCATATTCATATAGTGATTAGTGTTGACCGAATCATAACAGCCAAGTTGCAAGCGGTTTTTAGTTTAAGTGATTTAACACCGAGTCTCTATATTTTGATGTTGGGTGATTTCCAAGCAGTCTATAGGAAACGAATTAATTAGACTAGTGATCACGCTGTACCTTGAGCGACAGAATCCGACCAGGACTTAATACTAGACAAACATCACACTGGTTACTAACCAATGATCAATTAATGTAAACATTGTAATAATTACTGTAAATAAATGAATAAAAAACAAAATCTAGGTGGCTTTAATTTCATGATCTCAATGAAAAACCATAAACCGTACAACTTACTGACAATTATCATGTGCTCACTAATGAATAGTTTTGAGATGAAATTCCCAGAGTCTTAGTGAGAAACCGTGAACAATGGAGCAAAATCGTGTCGGGTATGAGACAATTACTTACCGAAGACAATAGAAAACGGTTACATAATATTGTGGATTGATTGAAGTCAGAAACCTTTGGATGACGGCTCGATGGTCTATATGCTAAGTGTTGTGGATGCGGAGGAATAGACCAATAATTATCATGTTAAGTCCAATGGTGTCCTTGGACTTTAAATGGACATTTCCTATTGGTCGATATCTGTTCACTTGTTGAATATTGTACAAAATGTTGTTTTCTATTTTATGGTACGATGTGGTATGCTTGATTGGTATATAAACAAAGTATGTTTGAAATACAATGATTCATATCTCCGAGGCTGTGACTTGTGTTATGGACTCAACTGACTGGGCTAGACAGGGAAGCGAGACCAATAGAGACTCTAGTCCGTCCGTACGTGTCACTGTAATCGACTGATAAGTACGCTGCTCTCTCATTTTCCAGTCAAGGACACAATTAGCACAGGGTAAAAATCGACCCAACTTAAAGTCATAACACTAAGCATTCGAGAGCAAGATCGAAGGCGCTGGGTTCAATTCCCGATTGAGGGGTCGAGGATGCGCGTTGCTGGGGAGTCCCATACTAGGACAAAATGGCCGTCTAGTGCTTCCAGGTTTTGGATGGTGGACTTACATTGATCGGTTTGTGATTTCAACGACTTTTATTCCAATCTAATCTAACATTTCCCTTATCCCGTGAGAAATCCAAAAACAAAACACTCATTTTTACAACAGGCTGTCATAAAATATAATTAGATAATTGTTCACTTACCTAAATATGAAGCTAATAATCGTAAAGCATTTAATATATGCTTAGAGAATTCATCATGATTTATACGATCAAGTGAATCACAACCAGTATTCATTTTAATTAAACTAGGTGGATTCATATGATCCACATAAATTTTATGTTCAATTGACAATAATGATGATTGAGGTGATAAGGTAGGGGACGAAGTAGTTGAAAGGAAATCAAATAATAGGCAGAGAAATTGATCACGTGCCGATGGATTGGAATGTAAACAAATAATTTGAACTAATAAGGGGAGAAAAATCTGAAAAATACAATAAGCAGTATGCAAAACAGGACAGGATGAAAAGTGTTAGCTTTCCCTGTATAACAAAAATGGTGAGCATAACACGTTTTGAACACATTTTGAAGAGAAAAATTATTCTCACACAAATGATTAGACCTTCAAAGTGCAAGGCTAACATAGCAAGAACTACTTACAAAGTACCGTTATTCATTGAGGCGTGCAAAAAGACATCGGGCTTCCGAATCGTATCCATCTGCATCACTAACCGTACATGTCTATGGAGTTGTATAGATATTACTCTGATTTACACCTTGAAAGTTCCACTCACTGCCTTCTCGTGGCATTACTGTTGTTTACGAAAATGAGAGGACGAAAAGCGAATGTCCGGTGCTTTAACCGGATTCCAAACCAATGGTGCAAATGGGCTCCAGTATCCTTCGGGAATAAATGGCGTATGAACTAATCGTTGATCACCGGATACCAGGGGACTACATCTCCTCACGATGCTCCACTGCCTTGTGGATCAGACCTTCAGGTCGAAGGCTCGGGGAGTGGCCCCCTAAGAAAACCACCTGCTTCGGTTTGGGCACCCGGGTAGTATCACAGCCCTCACAAATATCAAAGGAGATTTATGTGGCGCATATGTATTTGGTGCCTCCTTGTACCAATATCTATGTGTTAAAATAAAATAAACCTTGAAAGGTTCCTACATAGTCTAGAACTAAAAACACTGTAAAATATACACATTTTCTGATAATTCATTAGTCCCCAATTCGGTTGAATTACTGCAATCGATTGAGTGAAGTTTTGTATGGTTGATTTCTGATCCAGAAGTTTTACAAGTATATGTTCAGTTTTATTTCAGTTATTTCACATTGTATACTTTATAAGTGCAATTCTCCTTTATAATTGTTATTTTGGAGTTATGTGCATCTGCATTTAGTCCTAGGATTTGGGCCACTACAAATTGGTGAGCTCTCTTCTAGTCTCATTTTCGAGGTCACTTATTCACAGCTCAAAGTTTCTCTATCTGGTTGTCTAGTTTTTATTTGTTGTTTGACCATGAATATGGTTAAAACTGAGTACATTAACTAATCCATTAAGATCATTTGGCTAAATGATTCTGGTGAAATTAATGGATTGTACCATTAATGTAGTAAAATTAATTCTAGAGGTCAGTTTTCATCCCCTGTATGCTCCGACAAATTAAACCGTTAATTGCTTCACATAAGGTTGATGACGCGTCCTTGAATGAGAAATGAATGCAAAATGTTACCGACGTTAGTTACACAGATTTTCTGCGCATCCAGTTAGCCTGTGAATTTAGAAAGTCCAATAAGTTTAGCTTGTCATTTATTGCGTGACATATCCCAAATATAATCAGATCCTTGAGTGTTACGGAGCATGGTAGCACTCCAATAAGTCTCACTTTGTCACCAATTGCATTTACTGTAAACTGAATTGTGAATCGCAGTATAGGTCTTTCAATTCTAATCTACGTTTTTCCAGAGAGAATGACAGGAGTGTAGAAAAACTTAATATTCGTTACGTTACCCTTGATGAAGAAAATAAGTAGGATATGCTGAGGTATTTTGTTTTTAGGACCAACCTTGTCCAACCCTTTCCTTGAATTGTGAAAAGACAACATCGTTGTAGATACTAGTCGTTTGATGAAGACACCTTCAGTATATACGGACAGACTTGATCTGGTAGCATTCAGATAAGGGATGTTTATCAATTTTAATAATATAGTTAAAGTTTAATTATCATTTAACTCTGGAACTAAATGAATAGATGAGCTACTTTAATAGGTTACTTTTAAAGTATCACAACTGACAAAGAAGTCTAAACCTTCTTTATACTGTTTTGAAACCTACTGGAAAAAATTTAGTGGCGTATTTCTAACACATACATTAAATAGTAACAATTAATGCTTTCACATGTTACCATAAACTAAAAAGAGAACAGTAAAATCAGTAATTAGTGTATCCATAAAGTCACTGAGGTTTTATTGTGTAGTTTGCATGTTACGAACTGACTCTGATTAGACAATCATTAGAAAACAGGAAGCGTTGGCCAACTGCTTTGTTTTGTATGAGACTTCACCAGTGAGCATTCACGATCTTACAGATGATTAAAACTATAACCCTTAGGTCTCAGAAAGAGAGTTTAATTGTTAGACCCATAAGTTGGCATTCAATGATACATATTTTTTACACACTTTTTAAAGGACTAACTATTTCGATTCTGCATAACAATAAAAATGAATGTGAAGTTTCTCAGAGATATCGATAATCGAACAATTTGGCCAGATACTCTCAGATCAGAAAGGATAGGTTTTTCAAAGACAGGACAGAACTAATGTGTTGAAAACGTAACCATTCACCAAGGTTTGACTTGGTAATTTCGAATAAATTGAGCATTGGGTAGATTGTTATAAATAAATCAATATATTTGCATCCATTCACGGCTAAACCAAGATCGTGATGGCGTTAAAGGTGGCTTATGTCAATTACACTCATCATTGTGTAGTGATAGGAAGCAATTAAGGATATTTATTCAAAGTTAATGTTGGAACTTAGGATTTATTTCATTTTACTTTTCAACCAAGTGAACTTGAATCCTATTGATTAGCTCTAGTGTTACACTAACCATCTTTTTGTCCAATAAATTTTAAATGACGAGAAGAGGTTAGAGTCGAGATAAACAAATCAGATAGGAATTCTCTTACTCCAGATTTGAACTCATTATGGTATAATGTCAACTGATAGGTCTTTGAAAACCAATGCGCACATAGAATAGCTGTTTCATACACGTTTTGTAAGTTCACGGCAATTCGCACACAGCCTCTAACCATCGTACACATGGTCAAACTAAAAACTTGAGAAATCCATATCGTATTTAGCCTAGTCAGTTAACAATTGGCAAAAAAAGGAATACAAACAATATTACTACTATGAAATGGAGCAACATAAATAACTATTTATCTATTATGAACACAATGTACTTACTAATTTGCCTTTATCAACTAAGTATGGTAAAATCTTTTCAACATATTGAGCTAAAAATGTGACAAATTCGTCTAATGAATCGGTTAAGTGAAAATTATGGTTAATTTCATTTAACATTAGGTCATCATCCGGTAATAAATGAGCAATATATCTAGAAAACTCTTTGGATAGTTTACTTTGAAAACAAAAAAATGAAAAGGAAACGAGAAACATTAAGCGTACAGCAAAATGAATAGTATAACAAGATTTAACTGTTGGACTAGTGCAACTATGGTAGATATTATTTTTAACAATAATACATAAATCATCATCAAACAGAATGACAATAGACTGTCACTTATTACCTGTTGTTATAACAAGAGACACTGATCGATATCGCGTGTTAGTCATCAATCAGAATTCTAATTATATTTTTTTCTATGCCGCGTCTACTGTGTCTTCTACGAACTAGTATCCTAGACTTGACCAAATACACGTTCGACCTGTACCGTTAACTTTGAGCCAACACAAGCTAAGCTCGAATTTGGTCCGTTATACTCAAACCCTTCTTTATCTTCTGCCGCGAATGAAACGAGAAATCAGAAACCACCTTCTACCATTATCGTATTTCAAACATACGTGAGTTTATATACAAACATACTGAACCACATCACACCATAAAACGAAAATTCACAGGAATCACATATAGAAGCCGAGAGAGGCTGTGAATAGGGTAAGCTGTGAGTATTTGGTTGGCAAATAAAATAGGAATAATAAGCAGAACGATGATAATTAATTATTTAAATGAAAACTTATGATAAACGGAATATGTAAACATAGTAATCCAGTCCGTTATTTTACTGACCGCATCCACCTAGCTAGCATCTCAACACGGGTCACGTGATATCGAATCACACACTAGTAGAAGCATTGTAATTCGACTGACACAATTAGATCAACAATAAAAGACTGAACAAACTTGGCATTGTTTATTACCCAGTGCTTATTAATTGTAACTATTTCAGTCTTACAGGTTGGTTACGACAAGAATAAATCAGTACTAACAAGTCTCAGACTGTGAAGCTGAGTGACGTTATTTCGAACTCCATATTTATTTACTATTATTATTTATTTGGACACATAAATATTGGTACAGGAGAGCGCCAATATATGCGCCACACAAAACAATGAGAATTCGAAGAGAAAAAAAAGGTAAGGAGCGTAAAAGAAAAGGAAAAAGAGAACAATAACGAAGAGATTGGTGTAAGGTAGTGTAATAATAATAATAATAATAATAATAATAATAATAATAATAATAATGGGGGAAACGGAAAGGTACAATCAGAAGAAATATTTCAGTTAAGGGAGACACAACCACTTTTTATGAAAAAAGTAAAAGAATGTTACAGCAGGATCGCCATTGGCTTCTATTCTGAGCCATATCTGATAACGTCTCTAGCCACTGTGTTGCACCATCTTTCGGACTCCAACCAGGGAGTCGTGAAGGACCACCAGAAGCCAGCTCTTTGCAGCCTTCCTTCATACCACACCATGTCATAAATTGACCACCTCTCCGCTTTTTCCAACCAGTCCCAGAGTCGGCAAATAATGCACGACGTGGAATTCTCTGGGAAGACATTCGTAGAACATGTCCAAGCCACCGAAGTCGGTGTTTCAAGATGGTGACACTAATTGCATTATCGTCACTGATCCCGAACACATGATGCTGAACCTCTGAATAACTAACATGGTGTTGCCAATGGATGTCAGCAATCCTTCAGACACAATGATGATCGAACACAGAGTTGTCGAAAATCCTCCACTCAAAGAGGCCAGGTTTCACAAGCATAGAGCGAAACTGCTCTCACCGACGCGTTGTAGATCCGGCCTTTTACAGCCAGACTAACAACACGAAGGCTCCAAAGATGGCCCAGATTCGCATAAGCCGCTCTGACTTTCACTATACGTGCACTGATCTTATCACTCACGCCACCACCAGCACTTAGGCAGCTACTTATACACAAGAACTAATCGACTATTTCTATCTGCTCACCATCCACGGTGAGTACAGGAATAGAATCCTGCCAGTCTTTTACAAGTAATTTGCAATTCGAAGGTGCAAAGCATATACCATACCAACGGACACTGATTGCCAACTGATTAAGTCCGGATTGCATGCCTTGAGCATTATCGCACCGTAAGACAATATCATCCGCATACTCAAGCTCCAGATGTCTCACTCCAGGCAACAGATCCACACTGCCATTACTAACATCCATCAGAGCTGCTTCCAGAATGTCATCGATGGCAAAGTTGAAGAGGAATGGTTAGATTGGGCAATCTTGCCTAACCCCACTGTTCGAATGAAACTGTAGGGAATTATTTTTATCACGAGAACAGGATTGATTTAATGAAAACAATTATTATTATTATTATTATAACCAATTGTACCTGTGCTTGTTTTATTGTGATTTTGTTTAACTGTGCTAATGACAGACATTTCGTGCTACCATTACTCTCCATTATTGTTTCGCGGTTCGTGACCCCGTTCGTACGTACTTTCTCCTGCCGATTCCGCTTGTACCTTTTCTTGGCACGATCTTGGTATTCGTTCGATACCACAAGATCGCTAACGAATAAATCTGGTTACATTCAATCTTCGCCTTCTGATTTTTCTGGCATGTGTTTCTCTGTAGTGGTGTTCATAGTCAACTGGGACTCGACACCACGCGACAACTGGTGAGCAGACTTCTGGAACACGCCATAAATTCTGGTCTTTTCGCCTCAGGAAGTCATTCCGGTGAGTCTATTGTTTTTCTATCCACGTCTGTCGTGTATTTTTATATTAATTCCTAATATATACTATACTCGGCATGATGGATAACGAAAAGAGTGGCATTACTAACACAGACTCTGATATACAGGCTATCCAGTTTAGACCTGTAGCTTTTATCCCCCACGACCCTGAGGTATGGTTCGCCGCACTAGAGTCTCAATTCGAGACTCGACGAATTACGAGTCAAAAGCAGAAATACGCTTTTGCTCTTGAATCGCTACCCGGGGACCACATAGTTGCTGTTCGCGAGGTTGTTCTCAATCCTAACGTCCCTAATGTTTACGATCGTCTCAAAGAGGCGATTCTACGTCATTTCCTCCCAGCTAGAGAGGAACGCTTGAGAACACTCTTAACACGTCCCCTCTGGGTGATGCTAAACCTAGTCACCACCTCACGCGCCTGCAATCCCTTGCAGGACCAACAGCAGCTGAATCAGAAATAGTTAAAGAACTGTGGCACGAGTCGCTACCGGCTCACATCCAGCCAACTGTGACGGCTCTGCTCGAGGACGCACCACCCCATCAGGTTGCCCTCATAGCAGACAAGATATTAGCGAGAACCAGCAACACAAACAACTATGTAGTCGCTGCTACGGCACGTCCTAATGTAGATTTGGACGCCAAGCAGTCTTCGGCTCATGAAGATCGGAGCCGGTGTATTCACACCCGTCTTAGCTTCCAAGAACGTCGTGTCATACCCGAACCCCACGTCCCCCGAGCCCGCTCTCGCTCTCGCAAACCCGTCACCACTCGCCCAACAAAGGCATCTTCCAAGCCACGCCGACAGGCGGCTTCGGAAGCGAGTGAAAATTGGTGCTGGTTTCACAGGTCCTTCGGGTCTAGCGCCCGCCGTTGTCGAGCCCCGTGCTCATACAAGGCTGGAAACTCCAAAGCCGGGGAGTAAAAGCGGCCGTACTCGCGCCAGCCCTTCCCCCAGGCTGGCAGTTTATTTTATGTGCACGATTACCGCACAAACGCTAGGTTCCTAGTAGACACTGGGGCCCAAGTCTCTGTCGTACCACGAGGTAGCAGCGGGTCACAAGCTACAATGCTTCGACTACGCGCCGCGAATGGCTCAGTCATTCCTACCTACGGTAATAAGATGAATTGACGTCCTTCTACTGCGTGCCGAAAGTGTTTGATGGCGCAGTAAGCTGCTAGCAGTTCGCGACCAAAAGCGCTACATGTCGTCTCCGTGGGAGTAAGGCGTCGTGAGAAAAACTCGAGGGGTTGCCAACTACCGGAGATGTTCTGTTGCATAACGGCTCCTATAGCAAAATCAGATGCATCGACCGCTATACTAAGCGTGGCTGATGGTCGGGATGAGCAAGAAGTGTGACTTGCGCCAGAGTCGTTTTGATCTCTGTAAATGCAGTACTCGCAGTATCGTTCATTTCTAACTTGCGTGGGTTGCCGCGAAGTAAGTCGGTTAGTGGTCGTAACCGTTCTGCCGCGTGTGGGATGAAACGACGGTAGAAGTTAACCAAACTGAGAAATGCCTTCAGTTCCTTGAGTGAGGACGGCACGGTGTACTCCTTTATTGCTCTCACTTTGTCCTCGCAAGGCAGAATACCCTCTTGTGTAATGGTGTGACACAGAGACATTATCTCCGACTTGCCTAATTCACAATTGTCTGGGTTGACTCCTATTCCATTATCCGAGAGACGTTGGAATAATAGTGTGAGATGGTGGTAATGGAATAGGAGCCGTTATGCAACAGAACATCTCCGGTAGTTGGCAACCCCTCGAGTTTTTCTCACGACGCCTTACTCCCACGGAGACGACATGTAGCGCTTTTGGTCGCGAACTGCTAGCAGCTTACTGCGCCATCAAACACTTTCGGCACGCAGTAGAAGGACGTCAATTCATCTTATTACCGTAGGTAGGAATGACTGAGCCATTCGCGGCGCGTAGTCGAAGCATTGTAGCTTGTGACCCGCTGCTACCTCGTGGTACGACAGAGACTTGGGCCCCAGTGTCTACTAGGAACCTAGCGTTTGTGCGGTAATCGTGCACATAAAATAAACTGCCAGCCTGGGGGGAAGGGCTGGCGCGAGTACGGCCGCTTTTACTCCCCGGCTTTGGAGTTTCCAGCCTTGTATGAGCACGGGGCTCGACAACGGCGGGCGCTAGACCCGAAGGACCTGTGAAACCAGCACCAATTTTCACTCGCTTCCGAAGCCGCCTGTCGGCGTGGCTTGGAAGATGCCTTTGTTGGGCGAGTGGTGACGGTTTGCGAGAGCGAGAGCGGGCTCGGGGGACGTGGGGTTCGGGTATGACACGACGTTCTTGGAAGCTAAGACGGGTGTGAATACACCGGCTCCGATCTTCATGAGCCGAAGACTGCTTGGCGTCCAAATC